ACAACCGCCAATGCCTGCTCAATTATATTTTTTTATCAGAATAAGGAAACGATCGAGTATTCTATATCAGGAAACAACCCGGCAGACATATATTTCTAAAAGTAATTGTTTACAGGGGTACCCATCCTCTCCTCGAAGGGCGATGGAGCAAAAGCCTACCCCTTCCAATATATGTTATTATATACAATGTATTTTATTGCACACCTTTAATTAAGAAGAAAGCAAGCGAAAGTATAATTAGAAAAATCGCTGATCTAATAGAATAACATTTTATTTTTTTATTGTATTTACATTTCACCTTACCTTGCCTGATGGGCTATACGGGCGTTAGCAATAGTGGGGTGTTATGCATGATTGCATAACAGCACACTACTGCAAGTGAAACAGTTTAAAAGTTTTTATCTTCGGTGACGTCTGATCAAGGGTGTCCGTCTTCCGGCGGTCTTCTTGGTGGTGGTCCTCTTCTCCGTGCTCCGATGTTGAAGTGGGCTGGACCCACTGCCTCCTTCCAGTCATAAATGAATTTATTGAACCGAGGGAAGTTCTCCTTACTTGCCAACTTAGAAAGTTCATCCTCTGTTAGGACGTAAATTCCCGCGGTTCTCATCATTGTTGCAAATAGAATAACATTTGCTGCTTATCATCTATAGAGCAAATAGAATAACATTTGCTGCGGTCTGTTCCATGTTTTTCCCTTAACCTTAAGTTTGAAACTTTTCTTTCTGAAAATTCATAACCCTGTTGAAATGTGCCTCCCTCAAAAATTAAAAAAAAAAAAAAAAAAACATCAAAATATAAATATGCCTCCCTCAAAATTTTAGACAGCACAATTTGCGCCATGAAACTCCCTTCTGGGCACCCCTGATTATTTATTATAATAAGCATTTCGCGATCTAAATAGATTAAAACATAAGAGAGAACTACAATAATATTGCGCGTCAGCTCAACCGCGTTAAGTTCCTAAACCACACAGTTTACTTACCAATCAACAGATAATAATTAAAACAACAAACTTGCTCAATGAAATCCCCTTCTGGGCACCCCATTCATTTTTTAAGTATATTATTGCCGTTTATCAAAACAAAATATTTTGTATATATTTTATACCTACTTCCATCAAAATTCTAGAGAAAAATATATTTTAAGATGGGTAGTTTTCCTTCTCTACTTTATCGAATCAACCGATAGTATAAACTATCGACCGTTTCTCATCTCAAGCTAACAAGAAGTTGAAGGAGCACGTACCTGACATGGACCAACGCTTTTCCTGAAACGATTCCTCATCAATATTCCATTCGGGCACCGTACCGCAAATGAAGAGGAGATTCCATTAAAAATAAACGATAGAATCCAATAAGGCCGAAGTATTGGGGCAAGATACTCCTTATCTATGAGGCCGGACACCGGATTGGTTTTGTGTAGGTAATGAGGGTGGATTATAGGAAGGCGTCATTTGAGATCTAAAGCCCAGAATGAAGATTACAGAGCCGGCTACCAGATAGTGCTGTGTGCCTAATGAGCACGTCCACCAGCGATCTCCTTTTGATGAATTTCATTCTGTACACATCCATGAATAATTGGCCCTGATTAGGGGGCTCCGGGAGGCTCCCCAAGGCAATGCAAATAACTATAATTACCTGCGGGACCAGGCTTCCGTCCGCTGCCTCTAATAACCGCTGCCACTCCCTACTACAGTTTATTATCATAAATATATTAATGAAATCTAACCTAGCTACATCTTGGCTACCAGCACTGCCTTCGTCCCTTCCTCTATATCGCCTTACCGATCTGTGATATACCATACGCTGCATTCCTCCGACCACCGCATCACGTATCTGTTACAAACAGGATGGTATAGTCCCGTTCGAAATGCTCATGTGTTAAAAAAGTACTCTTATTTCTCTAATATTTAAAAAAAATAATATTCCATAGATGTAATCTATAAAACTATTAGTTACTTAATACTTAATCCTGAATCCTAATATCTTTAATATGCTTCTAATCTTTTAATAGGTGTGCCCATGGTATCATTCATGTTAAATTATGCATGTCTGTCTCATATACTTGATGTATACATGACAAAGGCCATTTGATCAATTAAATAATGTCCGAAATTTATATGGATTAACTGAAGACACCATTAACAGAGAGCGCCTCTAATATGACGGTATAACGAAGTATTTTATGATGGTAAATCTATAATTATATAAAGAAAACTTGGAGTAATTTACGTAAACGATTTATTTAGTTCGTTCTCCTAATGGAATAAGTACAAACTTGTTTTATCCGTAGCCTGTTCTAAATTAGGTTTTAGACATATAGTTTTTCCGAGGAAAAATGACTCTTTAGTGGGCTACAATTAAAAGTTTGTCTTTCCGCTTTATTTATTATGATGGGTAATATCAGCTCTGAAGTTACGTCCACTGTATCCATCGACCTCAAAAGTTGAAGGAACTGCCAATCCATTGGTCATTCTATCAATGAATAAAGGAACACGCTGAATTCCATCGATGAGTTTAGACTGTTTGTCATTGATTTCTGGCACCATAGATTTGCATAATACTTTGTTTAGAAACTTGCCAGATTACAAACAATATTCTCGGAAGCTTTGCTAACATAATTGGCTATAGTTTTAAGATTGATTGGCATTTATGGTTTAAGATCCGTTTCTATGGATCCTAATCCGATGTTTAGCATTCGTTTAATAAGCATTCTTTTGAAGCATTCCCAAAGGATGAAACGTAAAAAGAATTTTTCTAATCGTATTAGTAATTTCTCTAAAATGAGTAATAACTTCAGTTCTATTTATTAATATATATTTTTATAGGCATTTCACTTAAGAACTGACTTTATATTTATTTATGAGAACTTACTAAGCGCATCACGGAAAGTCATTGGAATACAGTGATTCTCTGTTCCATATTTACAACCAGGATGGCCAAAAGGGGGTTTCATGATGCAATTTGAGCCATCATAAATTTTGAGGGTGATATATTTTGGCGTTTTTTTTTTTTTAATTTTTTAGGGGGACACGTTTCGGTGGAGTTAAATTTTTTTGGAATAAAATGTTTCATACTAAGGGACAATGATAAAACATGGAACATGCCGCAATAAGTGTAATTGTATTTTGTGGGCCGGGTGGCCGAATGGGCTAAAGCGTGTGAACAGCACCGCTGTTGCTGCCCAGCAACCTGACATATGAATCTAATGATATAAAAATAGTCACGAGTTCGCGTCCCGGTGCCGAGGGAGTCTTTTCTTATCCCCGCCCACACTCCCTGGCCCGGGAAAATCCCGTATAACCTTAACGGCGAGGAAGGGGGAAAGTGTAATTGTATTTGATCACTTTATTTTATCCCATCTTCAGACTAGAAACAAGAAACATTTTTGTTATTTGTATATATATATTTTTATAACTTAATAATATCTACAACAGATTTGCCAATCTTACTCATATCTCATATTTCTATCATCTAATTTCTTAAAAAAGAATTGCTATACTTTTTACTTTTATAAATCATTCCCAAAAATTCAATATTTTTTTTTTGTGTGTGGTATACTGTTATATTATACAAAAAAAGATTAGGTCTGTCCACCACTGGGCATCAACATCTCTAGATGTCACCTCCACTTTTCTCAAGCCCACATTTTGTGTCCTTGGGGGTTCTACTCCAGACTTTGCTAAGTTATTTAGTTATGCTCCATTCTAAGAGTGTGGCCTGATCTATCGGCTTGATCAATAAACAACCAAGTTCAGCAATGGAGATTGCCTCAGTTCACCGCACTCGAAGTATGTTCAACAGAAGTATATAAACGAATGTCTATAGCTTCGTGGTCGCCTTAATGGTGACTTTCCAAGTCCTGTATGCATATAGAAACGCAATAACGTTACTATTGAAAATGGGAAGATAAGGTCTACGGATTTCTTGTGATTTTATATACTGGCCAGAGCAATGAGAATGCTTGTTCCAAAATCAGCTTTTTCTCTTTGGTTATAACCAGTAGTGATAACATGGCATTAATTTTCTATTACTATATATAGGCCTAAGGCCACTATCCACAACAATGAAAAACCATTCAAATTAGAATTTATAAAAAAATACTCAACAGAAATGGAAAAAAGTTCAAAAACTAAAACTGGAAATACTAACTTTAACAGATTTCATTGTTGCTCTTTATAATAAATCATTTAGAATTAACCATGAATTAGTTCTCTTAAAATATTGAGATACCATCTATGGTAGTTTCTTTAAATCGTAGGCGAAACTTTCACAAATGATCAAATTAGAAATCTTCATAGAAAAATTAAATGTTGGTGTTAGAGTTGTGGTTTAATAATGCCTATAGACATAAAAAAAAAAGTTATAAAGGACTTATAAAAAGAAATTTAGAAAAAGTTTTGGTTTAAATATTGATATGGTGCTAGAAGGTAAGAGAACTACAAAAGTTAATTCACAGCAACTTATTTTCATTATTCAGTTACTGCACGTAATGTCACTGGGATGAGTGAAGCATTAGCTACATAATAGTTATCCTCAATACAATCAAGAGTGGTGAACAGCTGTACATTCAACCTAAGCAGATTAAAACTGGAAACAGTTTAGTTTAGATATTAAAATTTCTAAACCATCTTTTTATTTCTTCCATGATTAAGAAATTTTTTATTTTTTAATAAATAAATTTGGTGTGTTAGGGATCGTGGAAATAAAACTTCATATGAACCTTATACAAATGTAAATAATCATGCATACAACTTGAATATACCAATTTGACTTTACTGAAAATGTATTTATACCTGATTCACAAAAAAGAAAAAATAATAATTCAGTATTCAATTTGTTTGATGAGCAGGCTATTATGGACCACAGTGAGTCCTAATAACTACATTTAAATATACTATGCGAAAGAACCAAAAATAGCTCAAGAGAATATTAATTTCTTTGGAATCCTCTCCTACTGGAGTAAATATAAAAAACATTTATCCATTACAAAATTATGATCTAAACTTTTATAAACTTCTTTGTTTCCTTAAGTCGTTTTTTATATTTTTCATTTTCTTCAATGTATTGCTTAGGGGTAGGAACCTGAAATAGTGAAGTATACCTCATAATTTTATTAAATCTTCCATAACTTAGTAATAAATTGGTAACACAACAGGACTGCTGTTATAAAAGGGAGCATTCCTAAATAGTTATGTGCTATCAAATATGAAAAGTGCAGAAGTTTATGGGTCAGAAGTGACAGAAAACTGAAATGTCTAAGATTTGAAAAAAGAACTCACTTCAAAAGCAAACTGACGAAGTTGGGCCAATCTTTTCTTCTCAACTTCTAACTGAATCAGCTCATTATGAAGCTGAAATGTTTTATTATAAAATTAAATATATTTATATAACATAAGAAACTATATATCTTAATATGAATATAATATGTTTATCTACAGTGATACAAACTAAAAATATTATTGTAAGTACTTATATCATTGTAATACAAAAGTTTTAAATGCTACTACCACCCATAGAAGAATCATATGGATAAGTCAAGCAGAATAGGTTTTATATTAATAGATTATAGTTCTGAGGGAAGCACTAATTTAAGTTCAAACTAAATTGGCTGTATATTTTTAATACCCTCAATAGGATTGGAAACTTGAAGTCTAAATAGGTTTTTAGGAAGGTCTAGTGAATAAAATGTTTATTTATCGAAAGACTGATTCATTCAGCAAGAGTTTGATTGAATTCTTTCATTCTTTGATTGATAGGTTTGAATTAATTTTTAGCCACAGAGGAAGTCAAAAACACACATAGCAAATATATATAACAAGTGTGACCAATTTGTTAACCCCCTGCTTATATGCACAGGTCATTATTAATGACTCCTAAATTAACTAACTGCCTAAAGGCCTATACCCTGTTGTGCGTATCACGAGTTCTACAGTAAGTACTAACGATACCCATTTCACTAAAGATGAATCTAAGCTTCGCATTGAATAATAGTATACTTCCAACTACCCAATGTAAAGCAAATATAAATATTTTAAACAGTACTTCATCAAATTAATATTGCATGAAAACCAATACTATAATTCTAAATATATGTCTGAGGATATTGATAATATTTCAGCCATGGCCAATTGCCAATTCCTTAGGCTGTTTGTTAGAAACCATGTAAAATCTAAATAAACTAAAAAGTTTATTCACAAATAACATGGAGGATTGGTGAAAAGGATCAGCTGTCCTTTTGATTAAATTTAACTATAATATCATAGCGGTTCCTTATGACCTGAAATAAAATAATTAACCCTCAGGCCATTGTGAATGAAAGGTGTTAGAATTAAGATTTGGATCAGTTTATTAGCATATTACGAAGTCAAGGCAACGTCACTATTAGAAATAGCTGAGCAAACATATTACCAATAAACAAATCAAATGATCTATAACCACTTATGAGTTGTGGCACCATTCCAAGAGGAAGATCAACAAACAGCAGGTAAATATCCAACCTCATTGAAATTGTAAAGAATTATTAAATATTATAGAAGCAAGGGAAGAAATAACATGTAGGAAAAAAGTTGATGATTTGAAAACTACTTCATTAATTAAAATTGTAACTAAGTTATAACTATAACTTTACTCAGTTCTTGTCATACCTTCTGTCTATATTTATTCAATGATAATAATCTTTTCTCATAGGATTTCAAGTCACTTTCTAATTTTTGTTTTCTATCCTTTGATTTAGAAAATTTTCTTATTTGTTTTTTTAATTTGATTTCATAGCTATCTGAAAATTATAATTAATCTCACATAAATTTTAATCTCTTAGCTGTTTGGCTATGAATTTTTTTTTAATCTTTAACATTTAAAATAGGTTAAGAGTAATTAGAAGTATAAATTATAAACTCCAACATCTAAGAAAATAAGTTAGAAAATCAGTATTCAAATGGCTTAAGTTAACTTGAAGGATAACTCTAGTAGTTCATAGAAGAATGAACCTTCACACTTCTTCCTTTTTTTTCTTTTTTTTTTTTAATCTGACTTATATATCATTTATACTTTATTATAATTTTTTTTTTTACTTTCTCCAATATAAAACAGACTATTTGAAACAAACAAAAAACTTAACTGCATTGTTTTATCCATAGCCAACATTTTACAGCTTTGTTTAAAAAATAATATGAATGTAATATCCACTTAAACTTTTGAAATAAGATCCCTCAACTGAAAAAAAGTATTTTAGATGAAAATACATTAGCATTAGTATTCCATCTATAAACCAGAACTATAATTAAGCTAAATTAAATTATATTTAATTGCTGTATGATCTCTCTTATTTTTAAATTTAAGTTTTTTTTCAAATTTGATAATGAATGGTTTAAATAAGATTTTAATGAGGGAGCAACATAAAAATTATTAAAAGGGTAGTCAACACATTTAGGGAAGACTTGATTCGATATATATTTTAAAAGTAAAATTCGTTTCTCAAATTTTACAGTGAGTTGTTCGTGGAGGTTGCGAAAACTATTAAATTTGGATTTATGTAAGTGGAATTTAGCTTTAAGAAAATTGAAGATGGCAGGAAAACTGGATTCGGTGGAATGAATGTGACTTCTCATGTTTGGAAAACCAAAAGATCAGGGTGATGAAGACGGAGTAGGCAAATAAAGTGAAGCAATCTGTGGAGAGTCGGAGCTTTGGTGAAGCTGGAGTAAAGCCTGAGGTGCGGTTCTGATACCTATAACTGGAGTCTGGAACTGCAGCAAAGAGGTGCTGAGTTTGTATTGAGCCATTGTTGGCCCTGTGGTATTTGAATCATATTGAATACTTAATGGTTGACTGTTGTATATTTTAGAGGAAGGAGATGGTCCGGGGTTGCGGTCTTAAAGAGACTAAAATAGTGGAAAAACTATTTTGTTTCGTCCCAACTTTGCAGGTCTTCTTCAGAGAGATCTTTTAAAACTGAAAGTCTTCCCTAAATGTATCAAGTACCATTTTAATAATTTTGATGTTGTTATCTCATTAAAATCTTATTTAAACCATTAAACCATATCAAATTTAAAAAAAACTCTGATAAATTATATTTCCATGATTTTATAATAAGGAATAACTAAGTCATATTTACATTTCAAAACAGTTTTCACAATTAAACAAAATACTGGTAAAATTATCATTTTAAATTTTATGAGTGATTAATATTCTGAAGCATTGAGGGAAATAATGGAAATTTATTTTCAAAAATTGCAATTATTTTATTTTTTTTCCAATGTAGTTTTGCTTAAAGTCCTATGTAGTTTTGAAATTGTTATTATATCACTGTTTAATTGTATAATCCCTTTGAAATCTCTAACTTATTTTCTATTGCAGATTTACACTTTGGGACACAAAACATAAACAGACAGTTAAATAAAAAGAAATGTACTAAATAGATCAATTTCATTGACATGACATGACAGATACAGAGAGATATTCCTTCTTGCACTTTAATGTTTCTTTTATAACTTAGATTAAGTAAAAACTACTATACAATTTTATTAGATAAGAATAATTCAACTTTTTTAAAATAACATTTTAACTATTAATGCCACCACTAAGTATAAAATATCAGCTGAATGGCTTCTAAAAATAATAAACCTAAAAATATTTTTGGTGTTTTTAAAACAACAGCATGAAACCCAAACATGTTTTTCTCATTGGTCAAAAATAATCCATATTTTTACAAAATAGATTAAAAATATTCATAAAACAATAAATGCCAATAATGTGCAACAAATTAATAAAAACAACATACGTACCTCTTAAATGTATTAAATCCATATAAACTTGGTTCTCCTTACTTAATTCAATTTCCAATTTTTCATTTGCAATTTCTAGTAACTTAATGTCCGATGAGGAAACAGGATGATCTTCAATATATTCATTCCTACAAAGTTTTGTGTATTCTTGTTTTATATCATTGGATGCAATAGATGCTTTCCGCATCTGCACTTTAACATTTTGAACCAGCTTTTCCATAAACCTAGAAAACAATTTATTCAATACTTGTTGACGATATCTGTTATTCTCATAAAAGGATTTATTATTTAAATCTCAGACTATGTAATATAAATATGTGCGAACAAGAATCCATTCAAGAAGATTCTAGGGTATATAAAAAAAAGCCTGTACCACTACAATCCATAACGGTTTATTTTGGATTCAGTAATTTCTAAAATACTGATATGAAAGTTGATGTTTTAATTTATGAAAGTTGAGCATATTCTCAGCCAAATCATGTTGCATAACTCTTTAAAGAACTCAAGGTTCTTTACGAGGTACTGTTTTTAGACTGATGGTTGTGCTATGAGGTATTTTAACCAGATCATGATCAGCCTCTAACCCTCACGTTTCTCCCTAATTAGGGATACTCAATTTAGAAATGCTGGGTATCCTTTGTGAGTTTAGGATCGATCTAAGGATGATAACATAAATAATTATCTGTCACAGCCAGACTCAAGGCTTTGGTGGCCACCAGAGAGATTAGAGCACAGGGTCTTAATCAATGAACTAGTCACGCTCCATCATGAGCAACATAAAATTTCAAGATAATTTTATCTGGATTGACACTAGTGTTAGCATACCCTCCTCAGGTACACCAAGGCTCTATTAAGTGTGTACATTCAAATGGGAGAAAACCTGGAAGTTCAGCATAACCTCAGCCAAATCATTTTGCGCAACTCTTAGTCAAAAACAGTGCTTCCTTACAAAGAACATAATGAAGAGAAATGAGAAGTGTAATCACTTTATAAGTTTATATGGAGGATTGCTGCCATAAGACTTAATATTTGAATTATTACCATCAACATAATAAACAAAATTGTATTAAAACTTTATCTGAGATTAATTTTGTAGTACATCATATTTAAAATGTTATAAACAACACTTTTTCACATATTTTAATTTTTTGTATTAACGCATCATAAATACGCTATAATGTATCAACTCATTAATAAAACATTGGTACAATTATAGTACATTATTTAAAAATTATCACATCTTTATATATTTAATATTGAGAAGAAGAGCTGATCATCTTACAGCTTGCCAACCAATTATAATGAATGGGTTGTCAACTATTTTAAACAATGAAATCAATTCTAACACTCCAGGCAAGGCATAAAAATGAAAAGGTGACATTTAATACGTCAGTGCACATGTTCTCTTTTGTTATAACAAATAAAAGAATAATGAGGAATTTTGAGCTATTCTACAATTTGTTTTTAAATTACAATTTCTAACAAACTGAATCAAAATTTCTCTAAAGATCAAATTATTTATAACTTATCAAGCTAACACATTTATAATACTTCATCAACAGTTTGAAATTTCTTTAGGACCTACAAAAGTGTTCAGATATGAAAGATAGTTTTTAATAATACTAATATTAGCTATAAGGCGTTTAATAGTAAACATTCTTACTTAATGAATTCAAAACTTTTAGTTTTCTTGTCTTTGGAATGAAATTTAATGTCTTCAGGGTACTGTTGATTCATTAAATTATAAACTTTCTCTAAAATGTCAAATTGATTACTGAATGATTCCATTTCTCCAGTCAAATAAACAATTTTTTTGTCATACATTTTTTTCAGTGCTTTAGATTTTAAACATAATTCTGAAATTTCTTGTTCGACGACCTTTATCAAAAATCCAATATTCTCCCTAAAAGGCATTTAAAAATAAATAGCTAACTGATAAGGATATTTATAATTATTATATTTAATGTGTTTCTTTCCATACTGCTCTGTTGTATCTGAAATCTCTATTGTATGATCTAAAAATTCAATACTTTTTAATGTGGTCGTTTTTTCATCCTCATCAAACATAGCGTCATCAATTGAAGTTTTTGAAAACTCTTTCTTCAAAAATTTTTGTAACTCTGGTAAATATTAATTTTATTGATTAAATAGTAAAGTTATCCAATAAAAAATTCAGTGTTTTTTTTTACCTCTCAAAGCTCCAAAGTCATGTCTTTTCAGATAATTTTCAAAGATTTCATTTTTTAATTGTAGAAGGAAACAATTTTTCTTAATATTATTAATTTTATCTTTTATTTCTTCATCTGTTAGATCTATCGAAATTGAATAAAAAGTAATGAAAAAATAGGTAAAAAATTAAGTGTTAAAATCAACACATGAGAGAAATGAAGAGAATACAAAATTTGAACACAGTACTTCCCTTTAGGATACATTTAATTGCTTAGTTTACTATTACTAAGAAACCAACAGGGTCACAATCCTATAGTATGTACTTAACTTTTTATTCCATCCCGTGCTGTCATATGTGGAAATAATTGATTGAACCAAATACATAAAATTTCAATTTAAGATAAAAACTGTTCAAAAATCAGAAGCCATGAGAAAAATAGGATGATATTCCAGCAGTTAAAGCAATAACGCACATCAGTTAAACAAACGCATTCCATAACAAAGAAAAGGGGGAAAAAAAATTTAAAGTCTATTTCTCTTTTGAATCTTTTTAGAAATAGTTTAACCATAAAATAACATCTATAAACATTTTCAAATGCTGTTTATTTTTTAAAATATTCCACTCTACGCCTATGTTGTTTGTAATTTTTTTAAATATTTCAACAAAGTATTTTATGGTTTTTACATTTTCCTAAAATGATGTGATTTAAAGTGAAAAAAATCAATCAATTTTAATTTATGATTATTAAAACACTTAAAATCAATAGGAAAATAGTGAGCCTTCAAATGAAATATCAAAAAATTATTCTGAGGCAATTTTGTCCATATAGCGAGTTTTTTAATTTATAAATGAGTTTTTCTCAAAAAATTAAATTAAATAAATAAAAGTATTCTTCCCTAAACTCCTCTAATCATAACATCAACATATTTTGTAAGAAAAAAACAAATGAATCTTGTTGAACCTACTAAAAAATTTCTTTGATGACAATATATTTGTTTAACTTTTTTTTTTAGGAACACTCCAGAAACAAAAACCACTGAGAAGAAAAAAAATTATGTAAATTAAGGAATTCAAAACAGATTTTAAATTAATTTCTAATTAAGAAAAAAATTTGTTCTATTCAAATTTACATGATTAAGAAATTAGAATAGAAACGTGCTTTCAACAATTGCATCAAATAATAATTTCAGATGTTTAAAATAGTGAAGGAGATGACTATGTGAAATCTGTCAGGTGAATGATTTACCAAAGCCAAAAAAAAAATATAAGAAAATATAAATATGAATAAGATACTTTCAAATTTCTTCTTTTCAGTAATATTTTTGATGCAATGATTTTCAAAATCTGAAATAAAATCTCTTGATATAGATTCCATGTTAATGTCAGAAAGCAGGACAAAACTATAAACAGATCACATCTGTTGCCAAAGAGATTAATAACAAATTCAATCTCATGTAACCTAGGTGTTAAACTACTTATTGATTTACCATCTTTATTGCTCCTTCTATCAGGGTAAACACATTTAGTTTATTTTATTTTTTTCGGATTATCAGAGGGTTCAGATCATTGAGAGCATTCTATATTAGGTTCAGTGTCAACAATTAACATTTGTAACAATAGAACTCTTACAATAACAAGGTATTAATGTTTTTGAATTGTTATGATAAGAAATAAAACATTCAATTCAACACTTTTTTTTTTTTTTTATTAAAAACATAAAATCTAAAAAAATCTTTTTTTTTATTAAAAACATAAAATCTAAAAAAATCTTTTTTTTTATTAAAAACATAAAATCTAAAAAAATCTTTTTTTTTATTAAAAACATAAAATCTAAAAAAATCTATCATTTACAATCCAAGAGTTCATTTTTTGGCGTGCTTTATTCATTGACTCACAAAAAATATTTTTATTCTTGGTGCCTTTTATTTCTGTTAAACATTTCTTAAGATAATTTCTCAAATATTTCCACTCAGGATCACTCAAATCACTTGTTAAAGACTTGGTTCTCCTTTTCCTGGAAATTTCTTCCTCCTTTAAAAACTTTTCAATATCTTCAGGTTTCCTAATCATATCTTCAGTTTTTTGTGAAGGAGTCACAGGTAAGCTTCCATCTCGAGAGACAACTTCTAAAATTAATTAAGAAAATTAAGTTTTAAAATAGATCATTAGATAAATATGTGATGTGTAAGTGGGTGTGTTCTTCTCTAGAATTGCGTCATGCATAAAAGAATAGCTTGTACAGAACTCTTTGCAAAGCTTTTGAAATCATCTTTATATTTAAAAAAATTAATACAAATCTTTGTGATTAGAACTCAAAATGTATCCATATTAGTACTATACGTACCACAAAACAAACCAGGATAGATTTATATTAAAATGACATAAAATAATAATTTGAAAAACAAAAAAAAAATATTAACTTGTGAACAGGAATATAAAATAAAACAATACTCAGTTCATAACGAAAAGAAAAAAAACTTTTAAATTTATGAAATAGAAAAGGATAGAAGAAGGATGTACAGAAATTTGTATCATATAATTAACAAAGTGAAAAATTATATAAGCCACCATAATGGGTTAAGAACAATACTATCCAAAAGGAAAACTAACTAAATCCATGCCCACACCCCTTGGCCCGGGAAAATCCCGCGTAGCCTTTAAGGCGAGGAAAAAAAAAATTACTATTTAAATGAGATAAATACATACAAAATATTAATACAAGTACATAAGAAGAAAATTTGAGAGGAAAATCCTCTGTACAATAACTGGAACGATCTGGCATAAAAGTACCAGCACATGAAGAACCAATAAAGAAATGCTCACAGAAAGTGGTCAGTCAATATCTCATGAAAGAGAGTCAAGGAGATTAAGACGAGCGGGACATGTAACTCGGAGCAATCCATCCGGAAGCCACTTCACAGTAATGAATGCCTCAATAATTGGCAAGAGACTATGTGGGAGCCCAAAAACAAGATGGATAGATTGGATCAAAAAAGATGCTGTAGACTTTCATGCAGATAACTGGAAAGCAACAACTAAAGATAGACAGAGATGGAGAAGGCTGGTTAAAGTGGAAAAAGATTGATAAGGTCTGAAAAGCCAACAGAAAAAAAAAACATGAGAGGGGTACTCGAGCCGGAACGGAGGATGACCCTGAACAACCCTCTGTAAAAATATGTTTTTTGTTTTACTTTCACTTACCTAGGCATGTTATATATAGTAAGAGAAAGTATTGCAATCATGAAAATTTTTTAATCTGAATCTTCAACAAAAATATGTGTTTTACGGTCCCCTGAGTCAAAATAACCAAGTTCCGCAAAATGATCTGTGGGTATGTGAAAAGTCTTAAAAATAAAAAGTCATACAAAACTGAAATTGGGAATTTAAGTTTTGTACATATTTGGGATGTTACAGGAACCTTTTCATCAATATTGGCTAACCGGAAATGCCACTTTATATCACCGATTTTACACATTTTTTTCCAAAACGGCTCTAACAATTTTGAATAAATTCATTATATCAGTGTAAAATTAAGCGGTTTTTAATTTAATATACGTCTTATTGTTATTGATGTTCTCTCTCTAACAGAGCTTAAATGCCTGATTTTCAAAATTTCTTCTCTTAATGTACTTTGAATTCATTTTAATCGTAAATAATAAACCTTTTCACATTATAAACTGCTTTAAAAAATGGTTAAATATAATTATTGAAGAAAATTGTTTGGTAACTAATGGAGAAATAAGAGTTGGAAGCTATACGGAACCAGCCGAGAGCGCCCCACCTTTCCATATCACCCTTCTTTACTGATACCCGATACCCTTCTGTATATCACTTATCCAAAGCTTTCTAAAAAGGTTTTCATGCTAAATGTTGAGAATTTCCTAATATAAATCTAATAATATATAACTAGGGGGTACCCTCCTACCCGGCGGACTGACCCCCATTTTACAAATTATATAACTGTTCATTAAATTGTACTACTTGTTGCTCAAATTGTATAACTTTAATTTACATGTATTCTGTGGATCAGATTGTATTATTTTTTATCAACATAAAATAAACGAAATGAAACCTCAGATAGGACAAATTTTTAATTTATTTAAAAATTTGTATTATATATCATGCCTCATTGCCAATTTTTATTATTAGATAATTATAATTATTCTTATTGCCAATTTGCAACTATAATATATCTCCAACTTGTCCAGCTTCATATAAGCCCAACAATAATTTGAGCCTTTTATTTTTAATATTTTCACTGTACATTATATTGTTCTTCCTTTTCTATTTCATAACCATTATAATTATATCACAGTAAAACAAAATAATAATATTGTATTCAAGAGGAAACTTCTAGATCGAAAAATTATTAGTGCCATTAGTGCAGATTTTTCTTAATAAACTATATCTATGAGTCTAGAAATATCCATATTTATTACATGTAAATATTTGATATATATACAATAAATAGATTATATTATAAAAATAATATAACTCAACATTATTGTCAATCTATGCTCAAACTTTCTGTATTTCTATTTCAATTTTGTATTAATTTGGATTCAAAATTTATCATTTATATTTTAATTAATTTTAGTTTATCGAGAGATGAAGTCAGAAACTCAACTGAGAATCAGTATTAAACAAAAGAAATGAAAAATACACTCAAAAATAATAAATAAATAGTATAATTATTGTACAGTACTATACAATAATAATTAAACCATATTAAGTGATATGATTTATTTATCATAGTTACCTCCAAAATCTTCATTAAAAAGAAGACCTTCAACTTCCTCTGATTTTTTAGTTTCACTAGACTCTGATGATTTTTCAACTGAATCTTCACCCCTAAAAAGTGAAATATTTCAATATTTGAAAAAAAATAAAAATTATGTTTAATATGATCAGGAGGAAAGTAATTCAATAATTTGACTACAGCCTGGGTAACATTACAGATGCATGAGAAAGAGGGTACATTAAGGTACTATGAATTTAACATAAACAGTGACATTAAATTCAAAATATTGCTTAGTTGCTATTCAATAATAAAGAATTTAAATAATAATAATAAAAATAAAAATGGCAAAAAGGTAAATAATTCTATTACTATCAACTGAAACGACTACAAATTAAGTTTTATATTTATGTTTTACCAATATGGAATAAATATTTTTTAGAGAATATTGACATTTATTAACTCACCTTTTCTTATCACACAAGAATTCTGGATTTCCTAACCATGATCGCAAGTCTACAGGTAGTTCATGATTTGACGGAAGCCACTGTTCTTTTGATTCCAAACATGGCAAATAAGTTTTTAATTGTGGATACCATTCACAGACATGAAGCAGCAAATATCGTGAAAGTGTCCTATCAAAACAAAAGCAACATATAGCAATTTAAGTATAAAATTTCCAATATATTGAATGTTAGGATGCAGTTTATTCTATCACTAATCATTTAAAACTGTAGCAAAATCATCATAAAAAAACAAAAGTTAAAGTCTATAAATCACTTCCTTCTTTCTAAAGTCTATTAAATTATTGTCAAATTGAGTCTCTATAAAAATTATAAACAAATTATCAAGTCAGTGGATCATTAGGGATGGGGTTGCCGAGCAGGCTAACATATGCATAGCACTGCGCATTGCCCTGCAAAGTAATAACTGAAGTAGGTGATGAAATAATTACGAGCTCGCGTCCAGAGGGCTTTTAACTATAGCATTGATTCCATATATTCCATATTCCTTAAAATGCAAGGAAGGGGAGAATCCTAAGAGAGAAGGGGAAAGAAGATGTATTGAGATCAGCAGTTTCTCTCAAGAGATGCCATTGGAGAAAACAATCGATATGAATGTGTTTCTGGAATTCTTTGCATTGGTGCCACAATGAAGACATCTTCCTTGGGAAGCTGAAATGATATAATGGCCTTACACTTTCTAGGAGGGATGGAAGTCTTCGGCCCTGTCCATGGACCATCTTTCCACGGTAAAGTCCGCAATATCTAATTATTATAAAATGTGAGCAAGAAACGCGATGCAGTAATGACTGAGAAAACTAACACCAAAGGATGTTTGGCGTAGTATTTCCAATAATATGTGTTCCAAGAAAAACTTTTTCTCTATCAATAAGGAATTATACAAAAAATCGAAAATCTTAGACTAGCAATTGGTAGTTCTATGAATTTCCATGATCAGTTTTGTACTAAGAAAACAATAAATAGAACGAACATTACTATAGCGTGAACCTACCATTGTTCCATATGTGGAAGATTAAAATTAAAATTAGTAAAACTGATTCTAGAATATTTTCATTTTCAGTAATCTTTCACAATCAATTAAATCAATATTCAAATTAAATTTCATTGCTGTAGTATCAACACAAACAAAAATAATCAATACACCTCTCGACACTAAAAAATCAGAAACTCTAACTTTTTATTTAATGAACTAAAATTGATAAAATGTTTATTGAAAAAATAAAAAAATAAAATATTTCAACCTTTGTTTTGATGGAAATAAAAATTTTATTTGAAAAAAAAAAGATGATTGAGTTGGCCAAAAAAACTCTGAGTTGTTTAATACATTAATTGTTTAATATATGTTCCACTTCTGGAACAATGGCATGTAAAAGGTTAACACAATTTATAGGAATAATTATAAACATTAATAAAGAATGAAAATAAAAATAAAAGATAACATTACCATACCCGGCTGAGGCATGCCAAGAATAAAAGAGCCAAATGCCATCTATTTCCTGTAGTTATATGATTATGCACATAATAAGCTGTTTCAGTGCATGTTCTTTCTAGTCGATGAAACAAACCAGCAAACCTCTGCAAGGTTAGAAGACACCACTCTAACATATCTTTGCTAGGCCCTTTGTCATTATATGAGGCAGATCGGGTATCTTTTAACACTTGGATTATATCTAAATAAATATAACTTTTTAATATTCGATTAACCTGCAAAAAAAATTAATCAAAATGTAATATATGAAAATTGTCTGGGATTATTATGATTAAACAATTAATTTGGGATGCTTAGAAGACCGACTTAGAAGCTCTTTTTGCACCGAATGTTTTTATGGATACATAATATATTTTACTAACAAATTTCAAACCATAATCAATAAGCAAACTAGTCCAAACAAAAAAAATTATTTGGAGTATTAATTTCATTGATTCAATTTCTATGTTTATGTTATTTTTTTTATTTACGATATTGTTATCTTCAACATCTATACCATAAAAAATGTACAAAAATTATCTTGATTAATTCAGTGAACCACTAATCACAATTTAAAATTATATGAAGATGGAAATAGTAAAGAACCTGATAAAACAGTTGTATGACCCATTGTAATCATAATCAATATTTTTAATAAAAAAATTTAAATATGAATTTACAGTGCGCACAATAGATCCATCAAGGGTGGCAGCGCTTATAGCCTACTAATTGATAAATATGAATTTACAATGTTTGCTCCATTTTAATTATTATTATTTCATATTTGTTTTCCTATAATTAACATTAGAAGTTGACGAATAATTTATTTGTATTAATAGAAGGACCATTAACATTAATATAACTTAAGTAATATGTATATCCAAAATAAACATAACTTAAAGCTATTTATTTAATAATAATCCACATTTAAAAGGGGAAAAACTTTTAAATTGTCCTTAATTTACTTCCCACTTCCATCCACTCACAATTAAAAATAGCAGAGAACTGCCTCAAGACATATTTTTATATTTATCTTTATAATCTGAAAGGATGAAATTCCGTCAGATTTTATGTAATCCTCTAAATGTTCAATGATTTTTTTCTTTGACCATTTTCTTGTATTCACTATCAATTAACTTCATTGAAAAAAAAAGTAATATTTTACTTATTACAGGTTTGAGTTGAAAACTAATACATTCCTTATCACAAAGAATCTTCCATCCTACAACCAAAAGCTACAATGGATTGTCACAGCCATGGGTTTAGAAAAAGTGATAAGTTTAGTGGGGTATGGAGCATCAATACGGCTAGGTTTATAAAGTGGTGGGAATGGTCTATAATAAAAAGTATGATGGAAGCAACAATGTAGGTATTAAAAAAAATCAATTATGAAATAAAATTCAATAACAATAATCCTTAATAAAAAAATATATATTGTGAAAGGGATAGCAATGATTGACTATTAACAATAAACATGAACTTACCTTTTGAAAACCTTTATATCCTTTGTCATTCCTTAAATTCTTTCTACAACGATATAATAAACGTGATATAAGAGCAGCATCAAAGCATAATAAATCTTGATTCTCCAAAACTAATAACATTTTATCCAAAAGTTTTGCTAACTTAGCACTTGTTTGCCCTAGAAAAAATCAACCTGTTCATTAAAAAAATTCTTATAACTATTCAATCTTGACTAGAAAACAAATTATTAACACTAAATGAAAACAAAACAGTATTCACTATTAAAATATACTAAATGAATACATACATTATACAGTTTCCTAATACTTATCTAAATGGAATAGGATAAATACCTGGGTTTTTCGTTCTGATTTTCAAAGACACCAGAGCTGGGGGGTCCAATATATTCTTATTCCAAAATGGTACAAAAATATCTTCAAAAGACATCGTAGGATAAATTAGTTAAATCAAAATAACTTTCATACGTAGAAATAGCTAATTACACTGAAAGTACATGCTGGAAAAACGTGTTGAAAGGTGAAAAGGTTACAAACATGTCAACCCTGGCTAAGAACTAACTCCCAAGGTGTACAAATAAATATAAAGAAGCTATTAGCAAGGAGAAGGAAAGGCGGGCAAACGTCACCCAACGGACTAAAGTTCAAAAATCCAGAACTCAATTGGCATTGAATATTTACCACTTAAGTATTTCATTTTCTTCTTAAATATACTGTCAATGAAATTAAAATATTTATCTTTCAAAATAATTGTGTTCTTATTAAAAAAAAAATTCTGGACTAATTATTTTTTCCAAATATTGTATAAAAGTAAAGATTGTAAAAAAATATAACTGCAAGCGATATAATTTCACATAATTGGAAACAAAACATTACTTTTATCTATGCAATAAAATTCGTTTACTTGTAGATGTACTCTTATGATGCCCTAAGACTTACAATTCATCGACTTCTGAAAACAAATAGACTTTGCCCTTTTCATTTATAAATGTGCCCTTCTTCTAAGGCAACTGGAAACAAGAGCATAAACAGCTAAAACAAAAAAATACCCTAAAGAAGTGACAGTTGTTTAAATTGATTTGTTGACGTTTAGAACTATCTCTACAGAGAAAAAAATCTTTTTTTTTCTAAACCAGTTTTTTTCGAAATGTCAAAATACTAACAACTAGCCTACCACTGTCTTAATTTTTCAGGAAATTTGATATTTGCATTTGTTGCTATTTTATTTTTAATATTTTATAAAAACGTTAGTTGGGAAGCTGTCTTATCTAATCCCATCTTAAGGTTGTAGCTGGCTAAAGACCTTTTAATTTATATATGCTCGTCGTGAATGATTGTTACAGAAGCGCTGGAATCTTAAACCTCGATAAAAGGCACCGAATCAGATTGCTCAGTTTCTGCGGTTTTACATTATGCCGCTTTAAAAAAAATATGTCTCTATGTGCCAATGCATAACCTGTCATATTTTATTAATTAACTTACAACATACGTTTCAATAACTCTTAAAGAGCATTTAGACATTTCGCAAATCATGAGAACAACAAATATAGAAATGTTTTTTCTCTATACTAATGTTTTTGTTTCTTGTTTTTAATATTTGCCATCAGCTGTCAGATGTCTCATTTCTCCGACTTGTGTCTACTGCTGCTACCTCAACGCACGCGGAGCTTTCGAATTTCTGTTAATAGCTCTCAGTTTCTTTTGAAACTGAGAACTGTGTCCAAAATAGAATTTTGTTTAAAATTTTAATACCATAAAAAATAAAATAATAAAATTAATGGAAGTTAATTTTCTAAAGGTGTCTGTAGACATTTCACAAACTATGAGACAAACAAATAAATGGGTATTTCACTATACCAGTATTTTTTATATTTTCCATCTACAGTCGGTATCAAGAGAAATGTAATAAATATCTTGTTTTAGCAATAATGTTGCTGTTAAGGTGGTTTTAGACATTTCACAAACTACGGGAAACACAATTATCTAATATCAGATAGAAAATTTCAATAAAAATCAATAATACTAGCATAGTGAAATAACCATTTATATATTTGTTTGTCCCACAGTTTGTGAAATATCTAAATGCACCTTTAGTTAAGTTAGATAACTGTGTTTTTCATAGTTTATGAAATGTTTAAATGCACCTTTACATTTGTTTAAATGCAGTACGCCGAGTCACCCATTAGCCAGCCGAGTACGGAATTCTTTTCTAAAAAAACTCTAAAAGCTTTTTCATGTTCTTGTCGTAGTAACAATTCATAGATTTTTTTTCACTTCTGTTGGAATAAACATCGGGATAAATTTAAACAATGATTAAAGAACCGTTTTGACGAAGAAAGTTGCGACGATAGTTGCAGCCTTGGAGCGATTGTCCCAACCATTCCATTGTGTATGCTGTAGGACAGTATGGCATTCAGTGTGTGATAACTGTAAGCAGCAATTCTCAGAAGGTTTCATGGAGCAAGTTACACCACCAAAAATTTTAAGGGAGCACATTTTAAAGAGGTTTTATATTTTTGGGCGGAGGTCACATTTCGATGGGGTTATGAATTTTCAGATTAAAAAGTTTCAAACCAGAGGACAAGAGGAAAACAAAGAATTGAACTCCAAAAGTGTAATTACATATGACCTATATATTTTTTTTAAATTTTACTTTAGCTTTTACTTGTTTTAAGAAGAGGAGAGCAATGAAATGTCTTATGAGGAGGTGGAGAAGGTTTTTGCGCCATCGACCTTGGGGGAGGATGGGCACCCCTTACTACAAATGAACCCCGTCAGTGACAGTACACCATGTACATTTGGTCCAATCAATCGTGTCCCGGTCCCTTAAAAATGTAAATATAACTGAATACATAGCAAGTCCACACTCGAGACAGCTCCATCCTTACCCACATCACATCTTTAACATTGAGGCTGCTTCTTAGTAGCCTAGCCGGTCAATAAGATCGAACTTCAAACAAAACAGACGACCGTTCTATTCAATGCTTGCTGAAGATGAGATCGGAAGAATAATGAAATATGTTTCACTTCCGTTTATATTTTTAGTCGATCTGACATTTTGTAGGTTCTTGGTAAAGTCCTAATTAAAACTACTGTTTCTATTTCTTCCAACTCTCAGAATTTAATAGGACAGATTAAAGTCGTCCCTATCGACGGGAGCCCAAAAAGTTCAGTGGAAACATTTTTGTTTTTTTTATTAAACATGCGAATGTAGATTGATGGGGATTGTTTGATCAATCAATAACCTTAACGAAGTGTAAACAAAGGAGTTTACTTTGTTGGTTACTGATAAGGGAGATATGTTAAGTTGTGTTACAAAGTTTATTGCAACATTGTTTGCTTAGAAATGATTGCAGAATTTAATATTGTGACCAATGATTCTTCTGACGATCAGAAACAGTGAGTATTACCAAATGTAATGCATATGTGATTATAAATTACCTCTTACTGTAATTAGTTTCCTATTCAATATTATCTTACTCATGTTGAAAATTATATTATACCGGTATATTTCACAGCTATATAAATAAATTTAATAAAAAAGGTTATGATTCACTAGATTTTAAACTTAAAATTCTACTTTTGATTTCATATTAAATGATTCCAATAATTATTTATGTTGATAGGTTATGGTTATTGATTATTGATGGTGTTTGTGCTTAATAAGTACTAACTACAATTAAATATATTAAGTGAAGTACATTTCCAGGGATATTACATCATCCATTGTTCAAACTAAGTTACATAAGTACTGAATACATTATAATACCAAATGAGCACCAACTATAATTTTTTTTAAAAATTCCTTATTTGTATTATCTTAATCTGTTATCAGGACCAAGCCTTACAGATGTAAGTGATAGGTTTTCAATCAAGGTCTGGTTCTATTACAAGTTTTTAAAATTTTATTGGAAGAAACTGTCTTATTTTACTGTTTTCATAAAATATTATTTATAATTTTGTTTTCTTTTAGCACATCTGAAAGTTTTGATGAATCTGAAGATACGGATGAAGGATCACTTGATGCTCTAATGCGTGATTATGATGATCTCAGTGCAACACCTCCTAGGACCCGTATTCACAGAAGGCAGATGAAGAAAAACAGTATTAGGTATAATCCAGATATATTTTTATATAGTAGTATCAATGCACTTTTTTTTCTAGTATAAACATTGTAATTTATGTTCAATATTTAAGCCTTATCTAGAAATAAAACTTTACTAATGTCACTTCAACGTTAGGGACAATTAAAATCGCATTAATAACACTACAGATTGTATTCTAAGTGGTCGATCATTTCAATGGATTTAATCTCTCATTTTTATTATATTGCGACCTACTTTAACTTGCTGGAAAGAGATAAACAAACCCAAGTGGGTCATATTAAGTTATAATTGGGTTCTTATCCAATGGATTAGTCTACATTTAGTTCCTGACACCTTCAGCCATTTCAGAATTCCATCTACAGTGTGATCAATGTTACTTTGACAATGTTGCCGTGAAGGATATATTTAAGTTTTAGTTTCCAGTAATATCGCCTGCATAGATAATTTTGGTTTCAAGAGTTGTTTGTTGTGCAACCAGATGGCACCTGAATGATAACTACTTGTCTGTAGATATCCGGCACAGTTAATCTAGTGTTTTACCTAAACTCTAAATTTTTATCTCAAAACAATGTTTTAGGCTTTATTTTATGTTGTTTTCGTTCTTCGTTGGTCACAGATGTTTACTTCCATCCAAGCTTGATTCAATTGGTGAATTTATGTTAAGTGAATTACAGGTCAGAAGCCTTTATTCTACTGTATAACCCCTTTTTTCATCAAATATAGAGTAACTACTTTAAAAATTTTCATTTAAACTGGATTCGATAATTTTGAATATCATGTATTAATAAAATAAGGTATATTTGCACGAAAAAGCTTTATATTAATTTTTTATTTTTTTTTTTATTTCAGTGGTTTTAAAGTACCATTGTTAAGCAAAAAGTGCAGAACACCAATAGATAATCATGTAGATTCAGAAGAAGGTATGTGAAGTTTTATCAAATTTGTAACTTTATCATATTTCATAAATATTGTTACTTTCTTTGGGAATATTGAATTTTCTGAGGAAGCGTTATTATGCTTTCTCATTTTTTCATGGAAAAAGTTTTATTTGCTCTATTTCAAACAAGTATCTCTCTAAAACGACTGTTACCACCAAAAGCTAATTTTTCTATTTACAAGTAGAAGTATTATAGTACTATTCTAAATTTAATTTAATTTCTAATTAATGTTATAATATCCAAGGGATGACCCTTTGATTGACTAGCCATCATCGGAATACTCGTAAGACAGAAAAGATAAGATTCGGCTAGATTTTATCGAATTGGTTTCATATTATTCATATGGACAATGCTCGGTGGTATTAATTCCAGGGTTTGCTAAGCCTTGTTATAATTTTTTTTATTGAAATCGGTTTAATTACGTCTCAATGTGCTCATTCAGAAATATATACTAAAGCATAAAATACATTAAAATCGGATCAATTTAATCATCATTCATTATTTACTGATCTTATTTATCCAACTCTGCAACCTTTATAACCATCCATGTATTATATAGACTAATTACAATAAATCTTGATTCTAGGTTCTTCCAATTATTTAAAAAAAAATAATAATAAGAGTTTATATCCTATTTAGATTTGGTCATTTTTAAAATAAAATTTAATTTTTAGATAATCATGAAACACGTAAAAAAAATTGTAAAAGAAAAATACAGTTATTGAGACATTCAGAAAGAAATATAAAATTAGATGATGGCATTGACGTTACAGATGGAAATGAAGATTTAGTAGATTGCAAAAACCCCCCGTGCAACATAAAGGTAAATATATCCTTCAATATTTTTACAGAGTCCTTGTTATTTAATTAATTAATATACTCTGCGACAAAATTTGTTAACAGGTTGAATCAAAAAAACGTTTCTTGTCTTTAAAATGCAAACTTGTGAAATCAGCTGTCAATTGGAAAAATTTTGTACCTGAGAAGACTTCTAAAAATCGATCAGACTTCCATGATTATTTTGAAAATCTTGTTAAAACTGGAAATGTCGAGACCAAAGATAAAATTTACAAATCACAGGTATTTATCTATTTTTCTGTTAAATAATAATTATCAAACAATCCATTCTTGGTTGGCTTGCCTCTGGCAATTTCAATGAAAGCGTTTTCTATCTCTGGTTTTCACTAATTTTTTAGTATTAACAGTTTATGATTTATGCAAAAATTAGCTATTTTTGAATATTGTGAAAAATAAAAGAAGTTGTAATAACTAAGACCTCCACAGTCAAATTGTATTAATGATAACATGATAATAATATTTTTATTCATATATCTCTCTATAATATAAAAAAGTTATTAGTGGTCATGACATATTTTATTTTACATATAACAAAATGGTACAGACTGTTATGAAGACACCAGCGAGATGGACTGTAACGAAGACACTATTCTTCTTTTTCCATAATTATTTCTTCCTCATTATGGTTGCAAATTGGCGATAAGAATAATTATAATTATATAATATTTATAATAGGCAATAAGCCAATATATAGAAATAGATTTTTAAATAAATTAAAAATTGGTCCAAACTGTGGTTTCATTCCGTTTATTTTATGTTAATAAAAAATAATACTATCTAATATGCACAATACATGTAAATTACAGTTATACCATTTGAGTAACGAGTAGTACAAATTAATGAATAGTTTATAATTTGTAAAATGGTTGTTGGTTAGCTGATATGAGGATAGGAGGTACCCCCTAGTGTCTTTTAAAATAATTAAAATGTAGTATTGATTATTTACTAGGGATGTAAATATATCATGGTTACCACTAATAATGATTCCATTTAATATCAGGTAGTGATTTATGCTCCTACAGGGCATTTTCAAATCTATTGTGCTCTCATACATTCATAGTGGGCGCATCAACATGTTAGTGAGTCTAGGCCTCCGCTAGATTAGTTTAAGCCTCTGATAGATTGCTCTGTCTTGAGTTGCAGCAGTCCAGTTCCTGGTGTACAGTAAGTTCCTTGCATCCACTTCTCCACCGTCTAAAGATCTGATCTTGGGCCACTATAGGCTCCTTCTTCGGTGCAGCTCTTCTGTTATTATCTTCCTCGGATCTTCATATAACCATCCCGACGGATTTATTCCAGCTTTGTAACCCTCACGACATTTTCATCTCTAAAGACATCATAGAGCTCCCTATTCTTTCTCTTCCACCAGACCTCTCCTTCTCTTACTGTTCCAACGTAGACACCATAAGTTGTTTAATAACCATCATGCTGTTAAGCCAACTGATTGTATGGGGGAAGCCACAAGTGCCATCAGATATCTGCAGCTTTTAAAGGTTTAATTTAAGCCAATTTTGTTTCCAGGGAAACCTATCAGATTTTATTTTTACACCCAGGTAGGGGTCCAAAGAGAGGAGTTATTATCTCTATGCATTCCTATTGGACTATATCCAACTGTAGTATTCGTGTCCATGGCCACCTTAAAATAGCAAGAACGTTGAATTTAATATTTACTCAAAAAATGATAAAAATATCTGGAATTTTAATTATATAATAAATATGAACAATAGATTTACTTTCATCTGTTATTTTTGCTGACTCAATTGACAGTTTCCTTTATATTCCTTTATCGGTTATTGATATTCATGAATGAAATGGAAGAAAAACCACCACTAATTTCTTGCTATAAAATACAGGCTCTATTTATATATACTAGTGTTCACCCAGTGGTTGAAGTTCGACCATAGCCATTAAAAATTTAAGGAAAACATAATTAAATTAAAAATAAATTCAATAAATAAAGAGTAAATCACGATTCAAAAATCCTCATTTATTAATATTAACAAAATTTCAATTTCAATTAAAAATTAAGCTTAAACTACCTAAAATTAATTATAGTTAATACAAAATAGACTCATTCAAAATATTTAATTTCCATTTTAATTTATTACTTCAGATAAATGTTGGTATTATCAATAAAAAAATGTGTACTTTTTGAGTTATTCGTAAATAAAATACTGAATTCATCATAAAAATGTATGCAGATTGTTTTTGGGAAAGTATGTTATATACATAAATTATGAATGTTTCAAGGGGAAGACTTTAGCCAAGTTTCAAAATCGTTAAAGCCGTATTGGCGCTACAGTCTAAAGCGAATCACGTTTTTCGGCCGCCATTTCGAAAGGAAAGGCCCAATGATAATGAAACGTATACAAAAAAACTTCTAAATATTATTGCAACATTGTGTCAAAATTTAAAAGAAATCGGTGAAGAACTTTTGGAGATTAGCCGTTTTGAACAAACTACCATTTATATTTTTTTTTATTTACAAACTATTTAATATTTTTATTTAGTGATAACACTAAAGCTCGTCAATATCTATTAAACAAAAAAAGAATGAAGAAAATCGGTTGAATAATAGAGGAGTAAAAGGGGCTGAACCGATTTGTGTTTGCCCGTTTATATAATGATTCTGTAATTTTATTGAAAATGTAATCTTAATTTTAAATGGACCATAAAATTTCTTACCCAACGATTTTAGCAAAACTTGAAATAATTATAAATTTTTTAAAGAGCTTTTTACTCCCAAGATTTATTTTCTACTGTTTGTGAATAAAATCATCGTCTTTTATTTTTGCATTGTGTTATTTTAACAAATATTAACCCTAGCAGTGTTTTAATACTTTTTTTTAAATTGATGTTTTTATAATATCAGCAATTAATATTTTATGATAGATTGTTATAAAATCATGAATTTCAATTTTATTCATTGTTTCACTTTTTTCAAAAGCTTTTCTTTATTTTAGGCTTAATTCCTTAGGATTACGTAATCTAATATATTAAGGGAAAAATCAGAGGTAGAAAACCTTTCATTTAAAACACTAAAGGAGAGGTCAGTAATTTGTAAGTTTTGTATTTAATTATTTATCAGTGTTTAGAGTATTTTTGAAAGTTGCCTGTTGAATGTTATTCATGGAAATAATTTCACCTCTTTCCTTTATTTAAATATGTATATTTCTTATTTATTTACAATTTTTTCATCATTTGTGCATTTGTTTCTATGATCGATAGATTCTCATTCAATAGCAAACATTTTTTTCTAAATAGGACATTACTGACTTAATTACATTCAAGAGAATTAGTTTAGATTTGTAACAATTTATGGTACTTTTCGTCTAAGGGGCCGCTACTAACTGCTATCTGCCAATGTTTATAACCTGAACACTGATAACTCCCATAAAGCACTGATAAGCCTTTTTTTACTTCATATCTTCGTATTATTGTATTAAATTCGTATTATTGAAAGTGTAAACAGATACAAAAACAAATTTAATAACAAAAAAAATACTTTTATTTGACGACACATATATTAATGAAATAATAAAAAAAACACTTTAAGAAGATATGTACATATAAAACATCAAAATGAAATAATAAAAAACACATTTAAAAGAACATATTTACATAGAAAAGAAAAAAATATAAAACGAAATCGGTTTTATAAAAAGGTAAAACATTCATCTGTTTCTCGACAAACTCCACCAAACATCCACTGCTGAGATAAAACTCTCCCCACATGATTTTTTCGTTTAGAAAAAAGACTTTCTTTTACTTCAACCACTTTGCCAGGTCCTCCAATTTTTTTTCTTGGCCTGTATAACATGTCATGGGCACAAACCTCTCTTAGACATTTGTTCCACGTTACCATAGCTCTGTTGAATAGTTTCAGCTGCTCTTTGGCCCACTTCATCGTTGTCAAGCTATGGGACCATCCATAAATCAATTTTAAAGCTGTTAAAAACGAAATCCTCGAGCCCTCCAACCATGTTCCTTTCCTTATTGAAAGTTTTGTGTCATAAGTCCTACGAAAGCATCTCCATTTGGCCTTCCTGGTTGACTTCATTCGATGACCTCGATCACACGTCGATTCAAGTCGGCAAGTACCCCAACATTTTAAAAATATTGAAGTGCCTGTTCTTCTGAAGGCGTCAAATTCCATATTCTAAGAAGATCCATAATATGACGAAAAGAAACACAAAGGAGCCACAAACTAAAAAAAAAGTAAAATAAACACAAACGGGCCAAAAACTAAAAATAATGAAAAATAAACACAAACGGACCAAAAGTAAACAATTTAATAAGTGAACGTAATAAGGGAATAACTGAAAACTAAACAATGCAATAACTGAAAGGGGATAAGAAGAGGGAGGTTATGTGACATGACGTTTGATAAGATAGATAAGAGGTGAGGTTTCAGTCCGGCTTGCTAGACTAAAAGTACCCAATTTATTTATGTATAACAATGTATTTATGTAAATTTTTAATGTTTGGCCATATTCAAATGTGGTATCTTACTATTTCCACTTCCTTGCCTCTGTATTTAAGATGATATTTTATATTGTTATTTATAATGAAGTTCTAGATTTTTATTAAATAAAAATATTTATGTTTTTGTTTTATCTGTTATTATATTCCTTTATTTATAAAACTTTTAATAAAAATTATTTTTGTGTGATATGGATGATTAAAATATTTTAACATCCTTTTTTCCCCATTATTTCCTATAACATTGTTTAATATTCTCCATTTTAACACTCTAAATTTTATTTTAGACCATTACAATAATAGTCATATATATAAAAAAAAAAAAAACTGATTTAAACATATTTTCCAGCTAAGTGAGGAAGAACAGTTATGGCAAACAGAATGGAAAGATATGATTTGGCTAGAACTTAGGGCCTGGATAGCAGATAGGACTGTTACAGAACAAGATAAATATCTCATTAAAGCACGAAAAGAGATTCCAAATTTGTTAGATGACATTCTTAATTACAGGTATTATTTAATGCTTTTTTTTTTCATGTTTTTATTTATTTTATTCTTAAATAACTATTACAGTTATAATAATGTTCAATTGTTACAATTAATAAGTTATAACTATAAAAATTTCACCTATAACTTTTATATAGCCATAATTATTTGGATTTAACGATGCATACTTTCTATTTACATTCACATCTATCTCACTCATTACGTATTGTTACATTTTAAATTATTTGTGATTTCAACTTTATTCAGTTCTTTAAAACTTTCTATCTGAGCCAGGAATCATCATCTAAGGAGTGACTCGTGTATTTATCAAGTTGACCATACAATTTATTAATGTTAAGTCCATTCTGTCTTTTCAACATAGTTCTCAATAAACTTCTAGAAATATAAATTTGTTGACTTCTCTATTTCTTCAGTCTTAACTTTATTATTATTATTATAAATGTTTTACATTAACAATATTATGACTTTTCAGGTTTGAAAGGAGGCCAGATTCAATGTCATCACTCTCATCAGACAGTGGAATATTTGCATTTGATTCTGAAGACCCTCCTAAACCATGTACAGGTAAATGTTTATGATTTTCATATCTGTATTCCTTATTTGAATTAATTTGGGCCTTGTATCTGTACCCAAATGATATATTTATAATTTATTGTTCTCATATCTCTCTATCTCTATAACTCATATCATTTTTATATACAGTAGAACCCTAGGGATACTTCATATCCCAGTAATTCGTTTATCCTGATAATTTGTTAGGATTCACTGGTCCCTTGAAATTCTTCTACTAATTCATACAAAAGCCATGTAATTCGGTCTCCTTGATAATTTGTATTTATTTTTGTCTTATTAGTATTTAGATGAAATGATTGACTTGATACATGTGAAATAATGAATTTACTAATCCTTGTTTTGACAGATCAGAATACTATATCTATATCATCTGTTTGGTGTTATCTATATTTTATAACAAATGAAACTTTTACTACAGAGTCAAAATACTTTTCTAAAATATGTACTTCTATTTTAGGTTGTTTGTGTATGTTTTGTCCATCTTGTGTTGAGCAAGCAGATATAGCACTCAAAGAGGTCGGTGATCTGTTGTCAAGATTAGAAGCTGCTGAGTCCCTGTTTCCATCTACCAAAGCTTTTGCAAATTACTTTCCTCTTTATAAGAGTAACATATTTATTGGAAGAGTAAAGGTAATAGTGTTTTACAATTTGAAAGCTTGTTTTTTTTTTTTTCTTTTAAGTAAAAAGCATTTTTCAGTGTAGCCGTAATTATTGTGAAATGCATGATGCAGTGTATACAATTTGTAGCTTTTTGAAGTAATTATTAATATAAATTAATAATATATTATTTTTTTTCTATTTAGGCCATGTGTTTATGGTATAATATTACAATACACCATAGGTTGAAAATTATAATCATTGGGAAACAGCTATTATCCTTTGCACAAAGAAATGAGACATGTTTGAGTTTTAACAGGCATGTATTTAATCTAACCTAGTTTAATGTAAATGTATATACTTTAACTTATATGTTTAGAAAACAACTTTCATTTATTTGTTTAGTGCTTTTGTTAGGGATCTTTGACCTTTAATAGTTCATGTATTAATGCTTATTTCCTGGTTTTAGTTATTCGGTACAGACTTATGCTCCGTTTTCAATGCAGTTCAGTAATTAGTTGGTTTCATTAATGACAAAATCACCAAGAAGCATCAAAAACTTAGCTGTTAATCAATTTAAAGAACAGTTAGTTTATTTGTCTCCAGTTTCCACTTTAGTAGGAACCAGCTTAGCTATTTATATCTATTATCTGGTCTTCGTCCTTCCAAAGTTCCTTGCCAACACTGTTGTATACATGATTGGAATGAGATACCATGATGGTTTGCCATGAGCTATTTGTCCCAACCGTCTATATCTCCTTGAATATTGATTTAGAGATTTGCCATGAGTTCCTCTGGAATTTTTTCCTTGCTATGTTAAGGCCCTGATCCAAGTTCGCTTCAGTTGTTTTATAGATGCTGTTTGTTTTATAGGGATTCGCTCCAGTTGTGTGAGAGAGAACAGAGATCTATTCACACTAATTATATATATATATTGGTCTATCTCTGCCAGTTTTTCTATTTTGGTGGTTTTTGTGAAGACTCGGTGTCATAGCTGGAGAGGACTTGCACTAAGTAGAGTATTACTTAGACCCAAGCCAAAAAGAAGTTTTAAATTACTTCTAAGTCTCTTGTCATGAAAAGGCAACTTTTTATACGTCTTTATTAATCAGCCTATTTTCTAGGATACGACGTTCATTCACGATCTTCTATATAGTTTCTATCCACTGGATTATAGACATTTTAAAAACTAAAAAGGCTTGTAAAAGAAAAATAAGTCTATTTTATCTGCATAAATTAAATTTCCTAAGACTTTTCATGGCTTTAGTTGGTTAACTTAACATTCTAAAAATCAAATCAAATCAAATCAGAGTGTATGTCAGTACCTCTTCTAATCCAATTAAAATGTGTTGCCCCATACATGTGGATTCCCCACAAGGAAACTTGCTTATCTGGCACTACAGTCCAATATAAACTTTGGCCTCCCTTAACAATTTGTTTCCAGCTGTTCTGATCCAGTGTCCTCATCCTCCATGGAGTAACTCTAAATTTAGCTAATTCCTGCTCCACATCCATCAACCAGCTTGTTCTGGATTGCTCCCTTCTTCTTTTACTTTAAAAATCCTCCTTCATTAATTTTCTCGGCATCTTTCCTTCTGGTAATCTTTCAGTATGTCCAAACCAACTAACCTTCGTGATTTTACAAAACTGACTGTATCCTCATACTCTATGAGGTCATCAAGCCACCTATTCTTTCTTATTCACCAATTGCCTTGTGAGCACACTGGGACAAAAATAGGTCATAATATTTTCCTTTCAAAGACTCTTAGGGGTAACTGGTCTGAGACTTCAGCTTCCAAGTTTCTGCTCCACATCTCACCAATGGTCTTACCAGAGTTTTTTATATTTTCAATTTGGTTCGTTTAGTCAGAAGGTTCGATTTCATTAGTTTCTAAAGGCCATAGTAGGCTCTGTTTCCTGGCATGATTCTACTTCTTACCTCATCTATTCCTTTGTTTTCGCTGGAATATCGGGTACTAGTTCACAAGACTTCCGCACGGATTACGCTTGGTTCAGAATCACTTCGATCACACTTGTTCATGGAATCTCGAAAACAACCGAATGTTGTCGTCTTTTATGACGTCAACTATTGCCCCTTTTCACGCATTTTTGAAGAAAAATAAAAGTATTCCCTTTATGAAACTTGGTATTAACAATTTATTTACGAATTGTGTATTTACTAATTAGTTAATTATTAATTTTTATTATAACGGTTATCACTGTGAAAAAAGAAAAAAAATACATAAAATACTGTTTGAGTCGTTTCTTCAAAGCCTGTTAAAAAAAAAATGCTTTTAGAAATAAAATTTTTATTGACATGGGCTTACATTTAGTGTCTGTAAATACGCATATACTGTATATTATCTTTTATAACTGTGTTTAAAAGATTTTTTTTATCATTTGCATAATAAATAATTTGAAGTAATCTATTATCTTTTTATTTGTTATTCGAGTTTTTCAATAGAAGTTGGAATAATTGCATTTATAATTTATTTCAGCAAGCCTTTTTTAGTTTATGTCATCTATCTAGTTTATGTAATTTTTTGGATTTCTAATAATACGAGCGTCCACTATTTTCCAGTGGGGTGGGGGGCGTTTTATATGCATTTACTGTCTGATTTGAGATCAAGCATTAAGTTTATGTCACTTTTTTGAATTCTTAGATATACAGATCCACTATTTTCTAGTCCTCGGAACTTTTTATGAATATATTGTCGGATTTAAAATTGTTTGTAGATTTTTGGATTTTTAGATAAAAGAGTCCACTATTAAGTTGTCAAGGACGCTATTTATGAAAATAATGTCTGATTAAAGATTTATGAATATACTGATAATTCCAAGAAAATGAATAATGAAAATCATCAATAAGAAAAATAATACCGTGAAATAGCATTTAGAGATGTAATAATTATAGATTTGTATCTATTACTACTTATTTTTACAGATCTATAATATATGTACAAGTTCAATTCAGGTTTCATGATGTGTTGCCTAAATTTTGAATGTAAATTGGCTCCTGCTATATAACTGAACATGGTTAAGGTTATAGGAGTACTTAATTGGCGGGAAAGTTAATAGTAACTGGTCCAAGAGATCAGTCGCCTTTGTTCTCTTTCAGATAAACCTGAACGCATTCGGTATTCCAGGAACAAGTGTGACCGAAGTGATTGTGAGCCATGCGTAATCCGTGCGGAACTCTTGTGAACTAGTACCGAATATCGCATGTGCATATCAGGTACATTCTTGACTTAAAAAGTCACTGATCCAAGTAGCATAAATGCTTGACTATGCCTAACTTTAATTTTCTGAAAACACCCACACTAGTCTGTTTTACCACTCTGTCTCATATTTATATTTATCCTAGGTTGATCTGCTCTGTATAGGATTTTTGTCATTGGTTTTAATTATAATTTAAAGAAAAAAAATCAGTTTCATAAATCAGGATTATGTTAAATTTCAACCAATTATAATTAAAAAAAATTATATCATTGTTATAAAGCCAAAACATTTTTGTATAGTGCATATAATGATTTCTATGATTATATTAATTCTATGAAAAAGAACTTGAATAAAATTTAGAATTAATACAGCTATCATAAAACTTCAAATAATAAATTCTTATAATTTTGCTATTGCTAACTAATTCACTTTCTATGAGGTTGAGTTTACCATGTTTAGTGCACGCCATCCCTTGCTTATATAACTTATAGTGCTACAACTACAATAACCACTTGCTTTTTAAATTATTTATTAACCTGGGTTAAAGCTAAGTTAGTTTACTGTGTTATCTCTTCAATAATAAATTCTTAAATTTATGAAATAACTGTTTAAAAAAAGTTCCATATTCGAGGCAATTAGTTTCAAAACTGACTCAATCCACTGTTTTTACAAAATGTTTTATTTTATTTTTTTTCACTTTTCAATATACTAACAACTTGCAAAACCATCGAAAATAATTCCACCCAGTACAAAAATGGATTCAAACTAATGGAGTTTGGTTATTCTAATAGTTCACAGTCATATGTTTTTTATTTCTCCTATGAAAGTTTTGAAAGTGGATTGAAGTTTTGAACAAATCGCTTTATTTGGAATTATCAGACTTGTTAACAATTATTAAAACAACAGTTTACATGAAACTATACTAGTTACAGTCGTTTATTATGAGCTCTGAGTAAATTCAGCTCATACTTTGTTAACAATCTAACCTAATGTATGAAATAACATAATGTTAAAATTTGAATCAAAATCTCTTGTCAATTGCCAAAAAACTTTTTGAGGAAAAGCACTTTTTATCAATGAAAGTATTTTGGCAAAGTTGGCATATGAATTTTGATTTAAATTCTAAGATCAGTAAAGCATCAGTTTGTTTTACATTGACCTCTTCAAAATTGTGGAGTATCAATTAGTGAAAGGCCAAGAAATCAAACTACAATGTGCCAATATATTTTAATGTTTTTCTGACCATATTGATTCCCTCTATTGTTGCTATCTGGTAATGATTAACCTTTAGATGTTGCTGATATTGCTCTTTATGCCACATGTAGATTACTTGTAGTTGTTTCAAATACTTTTAATTTAGTCTATAGCATTTATGGTTTTGTTAACAAGTCTGGTCTTATGACATTATCTGTGATGACATTTTGTTTTATTTATTTTTTAAATATTTGTTTATGATATTATCTGCATGTTAAACCAACTTTGTTTTATTTTAAAACACAACTAGGTTTTAATTTCTTGCATGGAATTCATAAAATTCAAAACTCTTTATTCTTTGTTCTTTTGTTTGTTCTTATTTCATAGATTTAAACTGCTAACACAATGACTAACACAATATCGACCTAAAGTTATAAACAACTGAAAGACATTATTTATCTAAGTTTCCATATCTTGTATGCCATATTTAAAATATGTTTAATTCCCAAAGATCTGTTTTTAAAAATCTTGATTATGAGGCTTATTGCCTTCTTGAATGTGAGGCTTGCTCAGATACTCTCTCCCCTCTCCTCTCTCAACTAATCATTTGTAAGAAACAAACATTTGGCTTTATTGTCATTTCTCTGTTATTATATTGTAGTACAATAGTATTAATATAGTATATGAAGAGTGATATGGAAAAGAATTTGTGTATATATAAATAGGTAATTCAAGTATTATTAAGTGCTATTTATAAAAAAAAAAGGATTGATGAGTATGCTGTTTATCGAGCAACTCTATATAGTAGAGGAGCACTGCTTTAAAGAAAGTATTTCTCTTTCTCTCCCTACCTAGGACTTCCATTGTACACAACTTTCCTCTCCTCCTGACGAGACAACCAAAGATGCTGTCCTCTTCACTTTGTTATCTTGCAGCTTGAATCTGCAGAGTAGACCTATGCTATTTTTAATTTTGCTCATATCTTGGCTTCTCAGTTTTGATCATAGATAGTGTTTGTTAAGTTCAAGATTGAGGATGTTATGGCTGAGCACGTTGACCAATTCTGAGCATTGTGGGTTCGATTCCCACCTAGGATAGGTACTATTTATTTTTTTATCCTTCTCTGATTTTCCTAATAGTGTTTAAGCTGCCATTTTTTAAATCAGCAGCTTTGGAAAACCTATAAGGTTCATAATTCATATTCTAACCTTGTGCTATGAGTGCCCTATTTTGACCTTGGCTCTGGGAACTGCATTCGTTCACATATATGCTTTTCCTTCTTTATAGTGACCAATTATGCAATTGCCAGAAAATCTCTTGGCAATTGTATTAATTTTTATAAAAACTAATTTTATTTGTTATACTCTATAAGCTAGAAAAGGTTTATGGAGGAAAATTATGCCATTCAAACTTGCATATTCCTAATGATGCTCTCTGATAAGTGTAAACATCATCAAGAAATATTTTTTAGAGTATTGTAGTTGATCAAGTTATCTAAAATAAAAGCCATCAGCTATTTTACCAGAAAAATACTACTCATTCAATGTTTTTTTTCTCCTTCGGGTTATATTATATATTCCCTCTAAATTTAGGTTAATTAATTGAATTTGTTAATTATTTCTTTATTATTGATATCTTACACTTATTGAAAGAGAAGATGAATTTAGAAAACCCAAATTATCTTACATTTTTCACCTATTGATGTCTAAACTCATTACATTACTAATTTTAGTATAATATATTTATGTATATTACTATTTATTAAATTATTTGTATATTAATATTAGTATATCAAGCCTTGTTTAACATATTTTTATTGAACAGTTCTAGTTCTGGCTTCATCAGTCCTACTCCTTCCTGCCATGAATGGAATTTTCAAAACTTGTCTGCTGTAGAACCTTTTTTTGTTCTTGGAAAATTCTTTAAGCCTACAGACAGCGGTGATACCAGAACATATAGGTATTTATGAAAGAAATTTTTATCTTTTTATAGTAGGTTTAATTTGCAATTTTTCAGGATAACATTAATATAACAGGATTGAATAGAATAAATACTTATCTGCTTAAGTTTTTGTGTTACCAAGCCAAAAATGTTAGGATTGTCAATGAAAGGAGCATTATCATGAATGGAAATAGGTCCACACCAAACCTTAAAAATTTAAGTTTTTTTCCCCAATCTTCTTCATATCCCGTTGACCAATAAGCAACTATTTATGTATTGAATAAATAAACAAATGTTGCATAACAGTAATGCTATTAGAATCATCATTTCTTTTTTAATTTAATGATTTTACACTAGAATCAGAAATCTAGTTTGTTGAAAATTTTATTGAATTTAATAGAATTCATTTTCATTTTTTTGTGTTTAAATTATTCTAAAACTGATATTTCATATAATTGAACTAAACAAATATGATTTTATTTTATTTTTTTAATTGTATTATTGTTTACTTCTTTATAGGAGATTCATCGAGGATGTTCTTAAAGTGAGAGGTTTAAGAAAGTCATTACTCTTCCTCGATTATGTTTATTCTAAAGTTTTGTTAAAAGCCAGAATTGCTATGGAAAACCCTGAATTTTCTTCAGTAATTTTCTTTTTCTTTTTTCATTTGCATTAATTTATCAAATTCATGTAGTAAATGTTTTTCAGATTTTATTAATGTTCTTATTATTACTATTTTTTTTTTCTAGAAAGCTAACGACATTGATAATGCTGATGAATTAAGAAAATATGGTTTATGGAGCAATGAATACAAATCATTAAACTTACCATCATTTCGACAAGCATTCATGTTCATTTCCAGAATTCCACTGGATATAATTCATGAATTTTTAAGATTACGTTTAGAAACTAAGTTGGAGAAACCCAGCAGTTTAAGCATAAGACAAGTAATTTCATTATTATATGTGAATGTGATTTTTAGTGTAATTTATTGGATTATTTTTTAGTTACGTATTCTTTGTTTCAATCAGTTAATAAAAGAGTTAAAGGAGGGTTTGAGACTTTCGATTCTTAATAAACAGAGATATTACGAGCATTTTATGATTGCTTTTCCTCCTGAAGAATCTGATGATGAAGCTAAAACTAAATTTGAAGAATACATACAATTATTTGATCAATCACTACAAGCTGTACTAAAGGTAAGTTGAAAATATTGTACATTATGCCTGTGCTATAATGTAGTCAAAATGATATTCAAAGTTACAGAACATGAAAAACAGTTGTTAAATGGTATTTGGAAGAATATTTCACACAGGGGTTTTCTGCTGAGCTTTCTGCTGAACTTATTTAAATGAAAAATGATGACTATAAAATATAATTTTCCACAGCTTTACTTGAACTACCTGCAACAATGGTGCTCTTGTGCACAAGAATGGTGTAAGATTCATAAAAATTTGTTAGAAGAGGAATGGAAGTTTGCAATATCTATCGCGCCTTGTATCCCCAATGGAGAAAGTCTCATTTACCGAGTCTTCTGGTAACTTTATTCACTAATATTTTTGGTAATTATTTTCGTTATATTACTTAATTTTGCTTATTTTTATTGTTTATTTAATTTTTTTGCAGTGATATTTTTTCATCAGTATTTAAAAACATTTGTGACTATATTGAAGTGAAAGTCGAAACTCTGCTTGGTTGCAATCCAAATAATGATTCTTAGTAAGTAAACTTTACAACATAAACTGTTTATAATGATGTAGAGATGGTTGACCGATGATATAATATGAGAAGGAGTTAATTGGGGGGTGCGGTCAAATAAATACTAAATTAAAATATAGTATTTATTTAATTTTTGCCGACGTTTTGACCCACTTTGCAGGTCATCTTCAGGGCTACAAAAGATACAAAACATGTTGAAAATAATAAAAAAATTAATATAAATAGATATAAAATAAGAAGAAGTTGCCAGATACAGAAATAAAAAGATGATATCAGAGATATAGTGGGTTACAATGTAGTTAAAATATTAATTATTATATATGTAGAAGATACAAACAAATTGAAAATAAGTATGAATAAAAAAAAATAATAATAAAAAATAAAATAAAAAATAAATAAATACAATAAATAATAAAGGAGAATACAGCATGATGTAAGTTAAAAATTTATTTTTTTATTATTTTTTTTTATTCATACTTATTTTCAATTTGTTTGTATCTTCTACATATATAATAATTAATATTTTAACTATATTGTAACCCACTATATCTCTGATATCATCTTTTTATTTCTGTATCTGAAAACTTCTTCTTATTTTATATCTATTTATATTAATTTTTTATTTTCAACATGTTTTGTATCTTTTGTAGCCCTAAAGACGACCTGCAAAGTGGGTCGAAACGTCGGCAAAAATTAAATAAATACTATATTTTAATTTAGTATTTATTTAACCGCACCCCCCAATCAACTCCTTCTCATAAACTGTTTATAATTACTAAACAAATAAATAATTATTAATAGCCATTTCTTTAAGATTATTGTGGATGGTGATTGTGTTGAATATCTTATCATAAGATGATGTTTTGGGCAAGATGAGAGCAATCAAATAAATTGTTGATGTTTCAGCCCATCTTATAGGCCAGTTTCCATATACTATTGTGTCGTCATCAGGCTTGTTGAGCACTTTTTGTTATCTCTTTCATTAATTAATTAATTTTATTTATTCTTTGTTTGATTAATCTTTGTATATTTATTTTTCCCTTAGCAGTTTTCAAATCCAGTTAATTTGAGGATAATCAACTTTTACTTTGAATCTTCACCCCTGTCACATAAAGGCAGTTTTGTGGTTTCATTCTCAATATTTACTTTTGTCAAATGCACACCTTTTATTCAGTTTATGATATTCATACAATTTTCTTTTATGTACTCTTGTTAGTTCACAAGCCTTGAGCGGTCTTCAAAATGGGTTGAGACATCGACATAAATTAAATTTTTATGTATTTGTATGCCTTTGTTACGATAATGTTTTGATGGATCATTAATTAGAATCAGAATTTATTTACTTGAAGAAACTCATTAGAGAGTGTACTCATGTTTATACTTGTTTCAATGTGATTCTCTGATTTATGTTTTCTAATTTTTATTAGCCCTGTTCACAAAGATCTACAGCTTTGCCGAGGTCTCCAATGCCTGATTATGACCGTCCGTGACAAAGTTATTAGTGTGATAATTTTAACTAAAACTGTTGTTAGATACATTGAAAGCAACCATAGATTTAATTGTGAGGATGTGGTTGATTCTTTAGTTGAAATGAGAGTAAGTTTCCATTTTTTTTTTTTTTTTTAATTTAGTTAATAAAATTACAAATTTTTATATTAAAAATAAAGTTGAATATTGGTGTATGAAACTCAAATATTCCTCAACAGAAATTGTAAATTCATACCATTATCAATTAGTTAATTTTTTATTTAATTATTAGTTAATTATTAACATGATAATTTTAACTAAAACTGTAGTTAGATACATTGAAAGCAACCATAGATTTAATTGTGGGGATGTGGTTGATTTTTTAGTTGAAATAAGAGTAAGTTTTCATCTTTTTTTTTAATTTAGTTAATAAAATTTCAAATTTTTATATTTAAAATAAAGTTGAACATTGGTGTATGAAACTCAAATATTCTTTAACAGAAATTGTAAATTCATACCATTATCAATTAGTTAATTTTTTGTTAAAGATTAAAAAACTAAATAATCTAACATATGAATGTAATCTTTTTTTAAAACTTTTTTCAAATTGTCTTTAATTGCAGAGTTTTTATATTCAAATTGTGTGTATAATTATTCAATAAAAATATGTACATATGCATGGTATACATTTGTTTTTTCTACATACTAACCATATTATTTTGAAGTATTATTATATTTCATACAGAAGGGTTCTAATATTTCTTCAAGGGTACTAAAAATTATTCATAGTGCACTTGGTGCTTTATTTATATAGAACAAAGGGACACAGAAAGTAACAATAATCTTCTACTACTATTAAAATTAAAAAAAAAAAAAATTGATTACAATTTTTGAGTACATGTATATTTATTTATTTTTCAGGAAAGTGCTCTTGAACTATATCATTTCATGAAGAAAGAGATTGTGATCGTAGAAGATAGACTTTTTAGGTCGTTTTGTAATGATGCAGAAAACTTGGCTCTCAATTCAGCATGTAGGGGTGTTCTTCATCAGTTATACAAATGCATTTTTGAGGTATATATATTACTACATGATAGGATATTTTATAAAAAAATATTTATTAAATATATTAAAAATTTATGTGAGAAATGGTTATTACAATACTTGAAGTGTCGAGTATCAACTTTTTTTGTAAAGATGTAAGCCTATCAATTACAAAATCTTGGCATTCACATACAACAAATTATAGTATATGAATTAAAAATATTTAATGTACCCTTAAATTAATGTAAGTACAAAATGTGAGCTTGCAGAATGCCCACACCATGATGTGAAGATAGTTCTGGTTTACCTTAATGCACAGGTCGGTAGAGAACCCACTCTTTTGCCAATAGTAGGAAGACTTATTCTACATACAAAATCTAATTATAATGGTTCAAGGCTGGTGGATTTTCCCGCACCCAAGATATGGTTGTTAGTAGCACTATGTTAGACTGTAAAAAAATCTATAAAGCCATGTGGGTTACCCCAGACAACAACACTAGTACCCAAATTCTGATTAGTTGGAGACAAAAGCCGAGTCTCATGACAGTGAGAACATTAAGAGGAACGAATGTTGACAGTGACCACTTCCTGGTTGTATCAGGAATTCGAGCCAGAATAAGTAATGCTCATAAAACTAAAGGGACTGAGAAACTAAATGAACCAGAGTGTAAGGAAGAATTCATCTAGAGACTTGATAAGGCTTTAGAAGGGAGCCCTTATGAAGATGTAATGAACAGAAGATGGAATCACTGCAAATTTGCCATCAAACTGCAGAAGAGGTTATGAGTACGAAGGATATCTCCATAGTATTTGGATAACTAAGACCATGCTTGAGGAATGTCATCTACCAGAGGCTACTTCCGCATGCAGAAAGAGAGGTGGGAATTTACCAATGTGGTTCCTCCCTCTCATGAGAGAGAGATCTACCACTGATCAAATCTTTGCCTTAAGGACCCTGCTTGAAAGAACAGGGGAATATATCATCACACACCACCTTTTCGTAGATTTTAGCAGTGCACATGACAGCGTCATAAGAGAGAGGTTGTACCAGGCTATAGAAACAATGAATATTCCCCTTGAATTGATCCATCTTACAGAGCTGCTGGTGATAGGATCAAGGTGTCAAGTCAGAATACAGGGAGATTTATCAGAGGCATTCACAACCCACAAGGAGCCTAAGACAAGGAGATGGCTTATCATGCCTGCTCTTTAATCTTGCACTAGAAAAGGTGATAAGGGACTCCAAAGTGCAAAGAAATGGGACGATTTTCACCAAATCGGTAGAAATTCTAGCCTACACAGATATTATAGCTAGATCACAGAGGGCCGTAGAAAGAACCTTCTTAGCTATAGAGGCAGGAGGACAGGTAATGGGTCTAAATATTAACCAAGCTAAGACCAAATATATGACTGCCAACTCACCAAGGCCACCACCACCTGCAGTTACATTTGGAGGATACACATTTGAAAACGTAAATAATTTTGTGTGTCTAGGGTCCTTAGTTTGCGCAGAAAATATGCCTAGCCAGGAAGTACAGAGAAGAATTACGTGATCTAATAGGTGTTATTTTGGCCTGGCTAAAATATTAAGAAGTCATTTGCTTGCTAGATCCACAAAGATCGCTCTGTACAAATCTTTTATTAGCCATAGTACTGACACATAGCCATTATCATGAACAGATGCCATCAGGTTGCAGGTTTTTGAGAGAAAAGTCCTGAGAAGGATGTTTGGCCCTGTAAAAGTTGGCAATCAGTGTAGGCTAAGGCATAATGTAGAGTTGTACCAAATTTACCGGGAACTGGATGTGGAGCAATTTATATGGCAAGGATGGATGGGGACTCACCAATCAGGTGGCTAATGTTCGGGTATGTGGGTGGCAGAAGTGAGAGAAGACGGCCATGACTTTGATGGGCAGATGAGGTCGAAGCCGATGCAGAGAAGCTTCTGGGCACTAGAGGTTGGCAGACACTTGCATAAGACAAAGAGGAATGCAGGTGACTTATTGATGCGGGTTGTAGTGCCTGTGAAGATGATGATGATGATTATGTTGATTTGGCCGTAATTAAAATAAAAATGTTATAAATAATAAAACGTATTATATTAGGAGCTGTCAATGAGAAAAGAGAAAAAAGATTAAGTCCAATTTTAAAAGATGATTAATGAGAATTTGGAAAGCAAGTTGTGGATGGATAATGAGCTTAGATGTTTCAATAAATTTAAAAGTTTGGGATTGCTATCAATATTTTTTGTCAGTTTTTTATTTATAGGGTGGGGTTCTAAGTAGATACAAATGCTTTCTGTGATCATTATTTTTTAATTTATGAGAATATTAGTTAGATGAAAGTTTTTTTTTTCAAAATCAAATAATGGTTTTTGGATGAGGAGTTTTTTGAAAGTTTAGAAGCAGTAGGGCTTAAGGAGGAAATAGGATATTTATGTTGGATGATACAATTTATAGAAGATGAAGATTTGCCAATGTAAGGAGAATTACTTCTCCACCACATTAAATGTATGCTGTTTATTTTTCTAAACTGTATTGTTTAAATATTTTCTCTAAAGATTCTTAGCTATTAATATTAATTTTTTATTATTTTTATTTTTAGTATTATAAAGAAGTTTGGAGAGTTATAACCAATAAAAAGGAAGTTGCAAGAGATATGTTTGAATTTTGTCGAAATTGGTTTCATTTTGTGAAAGTATATTGCGAAAGAGGCAGAGGTGTACGTCCCAGATGGGCTAGTTATGGAATAGAATTTTTGGTCTACATTTCCAGTCCTAAATATACCATTCATTTATCAGATAATGAATTTGAAGTAATTGATTTTTTTTTATTATATAGTTCTTAAGTTTTATTTTATATATACACAGAATTATATTTATAATATGATACTAGTCATATTCTACGACAAAAAAGTAAAATGACCTCCATTATGTGCAATATTCAACTATTGAAATCTAATTAAGTCCTGACAACCCTTTTTTTTATGTTCCTTTTGTAAAAACAATGCGAATCGATATATATATATATATATATATATATATATATATATATATATATATATATATATCTACTGATATTAACTCTTTTTTTTAAAGTTTTGGATAAATCTTAGAATTTTAACTGAATAAAATCCACTTTAACCTTTTTTTTTTATGGCATTAAGGTTTTAAACAAAAGCCTATTTTGCTAAGATTCACTTATACTTCTTATTAATTTAATTTTTTTTATTTATAGCAAGCAATTATTTTTAACATTCATCTATTTCCTGTTATCTATATTTTCTTTAATAATTTATTTTGAATATGACCACAATGTTTTGTACAGTAATTAATTATTTCCAATGAGTATATTATATCGTCTGTAGTTTTTACTTTCCTACATATGAAAACACGTGTTTCTATTGAAGATAGGGTGGTTATTGAAAGTTGTGTGATGTGCTCACCGCACCAGATTTTTTGTATATATTTTTAACTCGTATCTTACAATGTTTTAATTTTAATGAAAAATCGTTTTAGGATTTCAGGAACGATATTGAAGAATGTTTAGCCTTTATAAAAGGGACTGCAATTATAAATCCTTCAATATCAAATGTGTCTTTACGGTCTTCCTCAGCTTCACCCTCGCCTACTACAAATCCCAACAGAAATAGTTTTCCACAAGTTATCGATGCAAATCAAACATTGAATTCGTAAGTGTAATTTCGCTTCTCATATTTTTGTTATTTAAAAATAGAGACATTCTAATTTAATATGTTTTACATAGCAAAAGAAAAAAATTATTATTTATTTTTTTTTTTTCTAGAGCCATCCAGAATGAAAAATTCGCTGAGCTACCATTTTCTAACAACTGTAAGTCATTAAATAAAGTTTCATTGAGAAATGAAGTAATATAATCATAAAATAGAGAATCTGAACATACTTTTTTACTCCTCAAAAAATTAAAAATTTTATATATAGTAAGATTTTTTAACATATTATGAAAATATTAAACTCAAGAAAATAATTTCATGAATATTTTTTTTTTAATTAGTGTGAATTATCAAATAATTTCAAAAATTTTCCATTCTACAGAAATTTAATATGAGTATACACTGTGTCTATCAATCGGAAATTAGTCATTGATTTTGTATGGTCTGGAAAACTAAGGAATTATTCAAGAACTAACAGGAAATTTTCTAAAATCAAGCAAATTGTAATAATGAGTTATCAACTTTAATATCATCATTCAACTTCAACTATGGGCTAGCTAATTTTGGCAGTTTAAAGAATGAAATATACTTCTTGTAAGAGATTTTAGCCGAAAAATTGTATATCATATTTGTAAAAATGTTCTTATTGGCAATTTTCATAAAATAACTAAGCTATGTGCTTTAGACCAGAGGATAGAAGTAAAACATCAACAATGCAAGATTAATAATATTGAAATATAAATTATAAATAATAGCTCATTATAAAGAGGATGAAATGCTGAACGAACATTTCCCTTGCTTGCAGTATACAGGTCCGATTTTTAGTTTCTGAGATATTTTAATCCATATCTTCTATAAAACTCGTTACCATTTGGTTCGACACTATATTTTCCTTTCCGCCTCTCTAACATGGTGTCTCGTTAAGATAAAATTTTGAATAATAGCTCATTATATAGAGAATGAAATGATGAACATTTTTCTTGCTAATAATATGCTAGTCCAATTTTTATTTTTTGAGATATTTTAATTGATATGCAAAATCACTTCAATGTCGACTCGAGCCGACTTTACCTGAGCTTTACAGATCGGAGATCTGATGGCTCAATCTAATTCACTCTTCACAAAAAAAGTGCAAAATGCGCCTAAAGTTTTAACTTAAAAATTTTTGAAAAGTTGGAATCAGTTAAAAATTTTTGGGAAAATTTTTGAAATAGGAATTTTGGAAGAAAATTCTTGAAAATGTCAAAAATTTCATTTAACAAAATTGGTAGACACAATGAACTATTTTCAAATTTAAATCTGATTCACAGATAAACCAATGTAAATTAAAACATTGTTTATCAATAGTTTGAAAAATTATCTAACTTCTTAGTCAAGGTATTTAACTTTGATTACATATTGTAGATACCTCCCATCAAGATAGAGTGATGAATGCAGTAACAGCTTTGAATAATAAAATGGATGAAAAACTGCGAAGTGAAGAACGTATTGGGACCGTCATTTCATTCCAACCTCACTCTGAAAGAAACATCATTAAGCCAAAGGCTGTCACATTTTCATGGCAAAGGGGTATTAAGATAGGTAAGTCTAGTATTCCTTGTCAGTAAAATTCATATTCAAGTAATGAGTTAATCTTCTTTTGTTATAAATCATAATTACTATTATTTAATAGGACAAGGACGATTTGGCAAAGTATACACTGCTGTGAACAATGAAACAGGGGAACTAATGGCGATGAAAGAAATTTCTCTCTCTCCTAACGATGCCAAAACTATAAGAAACGTTGCTATCGAAATGAAAATATTTGAGGGGATACAACATGAAAATTTAGTCAAATATTATGGGGCAGAAATCCACAGAGTAAGTATATATGTCAACAATTGTTATAACACAAGAATTAATAGCATGTATCTTTATCAATGAATAAAACTATATTTGCGATTGAAGGAAGAGCTTCTGATATTTATGGAGCTATGCCCAGAAGGTTCTTTGGAAAGTTTCATCATGGGAACTGAAAATGGTTTGCCTGAAGGTATAGTGCGCAGGTATACAAAGCAGTTGGTCAACGCTATATCTGTACTTCATGAAAACAGCATAGTTCACAGGGATATAAAACGTAACTTTAACCTCTATTTTTTATTTTGCCATTATTATTTTTTAGGATCCTAATATTCTTTATTGTTTGTTGTAGCTGCTAACATATTTCTTACATCTGAGGGTAACTGCCTAAAGCTTGGTGATTTTGGATCTGCAGTTAAAATAAGGGCACATACTACAGCTCCTGGAGAACTCAAAGGTTTCGTTGGAACACAAGGTTAATTTTTTCATTTAAAATTAATACTATATTCAAATATTTACTTTATAATGTTACAGTTTTTGACTCTAGTTTAATTTTGAAATTTTTAACATTGTTTTAAAGGATACAAGGATACATTCTCTCAATATTTTTATTTTTTTCGTAAGTTATATAACAAGCTGAAGAGTTGTACTTTTTAATTTTATAAAATTAGAGAAATTATCATAGCATAAATTGTTTTCCATGCAACTAAGTTATTTTTAATTATAACTCTAGTAAGTTATCACTTTTTTTTTTGTAATTGGCTATTCCTTCAAAATTCGTTTACATTGGAGGGTTCAGATTCAGGGTTCAGATTCTACTACCGTTCATCCGATTTTCATGAAATTTTCAGTGATTGTGCGTGTTGGTGTCTAAACGGTCCCATATCAATTTTATCAAATTCCATCCAACCTCTCCACTAGCAGCACCACTACTTCCAAAAAAATACTTCTGCTTTCAGATCAGGAAATGTATTATTTAACACACCCATAGTTTAAAAACTGCACGTTTGATTTTACTCCAACTTGGAGAATAGTATAGAAATTATCTATTATCAATTTCATTGGATTCCATTTAATAATTAAAATTAATATAAATAATTATTAACAATATAATGGCTGTGAAATGTGAAAAGCATTGATCATATGGAGTGGGTGTTAGGTTAATACATTATTTTTATACGGTTGTGATTTTCGGTTTTATTCAAAAAGTTAATTTGTAATTTATGGTTTGCTCAATTCAAAATGTTACTACCATGACACTTACTGCCATTAATTAGATTTCATGGGATTTTCAATAAATTTAAATTAATTTTTACTCTGAGTTCGTATAAAAACAAAGTCTTATTTGTGATTGTGTTTATTTCTATTGAAGTTCAACCAGCTCGTCATGTTCTCGATTTCCTCCATAAATATCAAAATTGTGTGAACTGAAACATTTTTTTATATTCCAGCTTAATTAGATTTGTTGTGACTGAAGAAAAGTAATGGTCTCTTTAATTCCGAACAAACAAAAAGTTGAATTTCTCCTATGAATTTTTTATTCTATCCATTTTATGAGTGAAAAGAGATTGTATGTAAAAGTTTTAAATTTTTGACATGTAGTCTGCAATTGATATAAGTAGTCTACTACTATGGAAAATCGCTGAAGGTAATAAAATATAAAATTATACTAATAAATCATAAAGTAATAATTAGTTTTTATGCTCTCCTGTAAAACACTCAATTTTTACATCAACCTTTTGCAATAGCGATATGCATATTCAGTATACACTGGATTTTTTTTTTTTTAAATTACGAATCATCAAATATGCAATCTGCAAATTTGGAACTCTTTCGCATTTTACTATTTTCTGATGAACAAAACTCGTAGATATCAAGGCTGTCTATGTTGAGGGATTACTGAATTTCTGAAGACGGCTTCTTCCAGAGATTTTATTTATTCTCATAGGAAAAATTTTAGACCTCGTAATATAGATATTTTTTAGCCAAAGAAAATGGTGAGGAAGTTAACTGACCTTTCTTGGCAGACATTTTATTTTTTGTTTGTTTTAAATAATATTTCTGCTAATGACTTTCCTTATTTAATTTTTGCTAACCCTTAAGCCTCCTACATACAGAATGTGAAATACCGATATGGTTGAATTACTATTTATTGCATTATAGCAGTCACACAGAGCATAATAATTCACAGCGATAGTGATAAAAGGGTATCATATCGCTGGGACATATCGCGTTCTGTTGATAGGAGCCTTTAATGTCTCTTTTTTCCTACGTTTTTTCTAAATAGGTAAAATAATGATGTATTATTCTGTTTTATTGAATGAATAAATATTTTTATCGGTTACTCTGTAAAAAGAAACATTAATATTTATAATTTGGTAAGTTATAGTTTCTTTGAATAATTCAACTAATTCTGGCTACTATGGCAAGAATGTCCTATGAATTATCCAAAAGGGTTTTTCATTTTCAGGTTAAATACAATTTATTTTAAGAACAAAATTTTTAAATATATATTTTTATTAATCTTAATGTCAATAAATCATAATAATGTTACTTTATCGGTTCAATTTTGAAAATTGATATTTTTATTTTTAGCATACATGGCTCCAGAAGTATTTATGAAATCCAATACAGTTGGCCATGGTAGAGCTGCAGATATCTGGTCACTTGGATGTGTTGTGATTGAAATGGCTTCTGGTAAGGTAAGGAAATTTTCTAACATATTTCTTTAAATTAGGAGGTGGTTAAAGCTAATGAATAGCATGCTGATTTGTGAAGATCATTTGTTTTTATAGTGATCGACCTCATTTGAAATCCTGGTTTACCATACTACATTTTCTAAGCTCACTTAACAACTAAAAGAGTATAACACTGAAAAAAAATCAGGTAGAGAGGAGAGGAGAGTGCTGATCAATGCTATAAGAATCAGACACTCCTCACCTTGTCCCTCTTCATAGTCTGTCACAAGACTTATTTATTATTTTACTTCTATTTATCCATTTTGGTATTGTAAAATATTTTCAATGGGAACTCGTGTTTTAAGGTCTCTAAGACCAAATTACCATGTCTCACTAAATCTTATCACATATATATATATATATATATATATATATATATATATATATATATATATATATAAAATGTAAAATTGTATATATATATTTATATATATAATGCAAATTGGGGACTGATGTAGCGGTTGGGCTAAGGCGCTAGCAATAGGTAATCAAAGTTAAGCAATGTTGAGCGTGGTTAGTACTTGGATGGGTGATCGCCCGATTTGGGTGACTGTCCACCAGGCAAAGCCATGCTGCCCCAGTCTCTCTCCCTCCTCTCTTCCCGGTATGTGAGACCCTCCAGTCTACTGGAGGCAGCTCACACCGACCGAGCATAGGACTGATGACCCTACCCCCTGTGCTTAATCAGGAATTGGAATATAGTTCGTGAAGGAAATAAATATAGTTCCTCGTGCGCCTGCTGACTATGAGCAGTTATAATCCATGGATCTAGACCGATTTTTCACTATCCTGGAACCCGAGTGAGTCAGTGGGAAGGACACTGCCAGATTGGCTGATGGATAGATTGGTGGCCTGCTACTGCACCATGGAGATCATGGTTCCTAGCAACGTGAGGTTGAGTGACCCCCTCCAGGCTATCTGAGCTCCCGCAAGCAATATAAGTCTGTAAGGAGATCACATCTCACGGTCAATGATCTTCATGGTCTGTAGTGCCAACCAAAAAAAGAAAAAAATATATATATGTACAATAAAATTATTTATAAGCTTAACAATCCAAAAGTATATAATGCAATTTATTGTTCTGAAGTTGTTTAATCGCACTTTTGCTTATGGCTTGAAGAACATATTTTAAGCCTTAAATAGCTTAGCTCTGATAGATTTCGATAATTTGATATGCACTAGCACTTTGTGAGCAGAAATTTGATTATTCATGTAGAGTGGCAAGTGAAATTTGTTTGATAATCACATTGTACCACTTTTTTTTTCAATTGATGTATTATATTAATTAATATGTAATACATTAGAGGCTAATTATTTATTTATTTATTTTTGTTTATAGAGACCTTGGGCTGAATATGACTCAAATTACCAAATAATGTTTAAAGTTGGAATGGGCGAAACACCAGACATTCCAGAGTCACTGAGTGAGGAAGGGAAACACTTCATATCTAAGTGTATAAAACACAACCACAAAAAAAGAGCCAACATATCTCAACTGAAAGGGGATAATTTTCTGATGGTAAGATAGTATTTATAACTGCTTATTGTTATGTGTGTTGCCTCAATTTAAGTTATAAGAGTTAATACAATTCTAAATAAGTAGCATTAATTCAAAAATGTTTAGTGAATGATTAATGGTGAGTAGAGTAATTATCCAACAATAATGTTTCATAAGAGAAGTTACTGTTTTAACATTGAGTATCAGTTTGGTCAATTAGAAATTATCATTTGTTTAAAAATATCAACATAAATTAAAAGTATTTCTTTTGGTTCCCAAAACCTTTATTATCAGGGTTTTACAGAGCAAAAATGGAGCCTTAGGTCGCTGTACATCTCACAGCAGTGTTAGGGCTATCAAACCAATTATGAAAATAACTTTGTTTTTTTCCATATTTTCCAACTTTATTTACTTGTATGTATACATGCTTATGTTTTTCAAACAATGTTCATAAGTTGAAAGTTAAGGTTCCAATAGTGCCACGAGAGTTCGCTCTCAAACTGCTATTTAATTGTGGGAAAGCTCATCTATCAGCTAGCATTTCTTATTAATCTTCTATACTGAATATTCTTTCTTCCTTCAACATCTCTGATTCATTGATTTGGAAAGGGTCAAAGTTAAATGTGCTGACTTGATCAAAATTTAGTTAATTAAAATAACTCAAGAAAATATTAATTTACAAATTAAAATAATCCTCTCAAATTGTATGTTATATAGTTAGTTAAAATGTTTTCAGTTGTATATAAAAATATTTGGTGTTTCCAGGTTGACTGTGAAGATGAAGGATTCTCTTATAACAAACCTTCTGTGTTAGAAGACTACCTCAAGCTTGGAATTAAACGATAACAATTTATGTTTTACTAATTTAATTTTTTTACTATCAATTTTAAAATACTGAAGTTCAAATTACTTTTATCAGAGAATTTTATTATAGTAGATGAAATAGGACTAAAAAACATTATTTTGATAAATTATTTGTTGTGAAAGATAAATATATTATTTATATACGTGTTATATCTTGAAATACTTCAATTTTCTCAACCCTCATCATTATATTGCATCACTGAAAATTGTTGCTTACTTCTATTTAGGCAACATTTAACATCAGGAAAAACTTTTTTTCTTCATGGCTTGGGCTGATCACTTCATATTCATGTTTTACCGAAGAACATTGAGTATGCAGAAAAGTCTTTAGAAATATATATATATATTTTTTAATTTAGTAGTTTTGGCCATTAATATATGCAGTAGACCTAACTTTTATTGTATTCGAAAAGTTAATCAATATTTGTTAAATTTTTTTTCCAATAATTTTACCTGGTTATATCAAAAACTTATCAAGTAGCAAGTCTTAACGTAGAATTTTTATAAAAGTGAAAAGTTGGGATTGTTAAGTTGATGCCAAAATTGTTTCACCGACTAAAAGTCATTCTCAAAAATTTGAACTCTGAAAGTGTCATTACTATAACCATCTGAAGTATCATATCAGTAATTTCAATGGAGGGTCAACTTTTCTCAAAAAGTGAACTACCATATAATATACACTTCATAGTCTTTAGTTAATATTAAAAGAGCACTCAGTAAAAAAGACATGACCCTTATTATTGAAGTCATCACAGTTTACAGAACGAAAATTGGAAGATTTCAAGAAAACATTGATAGATGGAAATTATTGACAGGATGAAAGTGAAACTTTCAAAGTTTCTTAATTCTGAAAATTTCTGACAGTTAAATCTTTTGTTGCCATCAAAACTTTAACACTTTAGTGACCACCTACATATGTATGATGGATCAACGGGGCCAACCTTTAGCATCAGCTCACACATATGTGTAACTACCAAAAGTTATTGGGCAGATCCACACTCTTTTAATAATATTTGTTTAAATTAATTCTTCAAAAATAATGCCAACCCCTGACTACATTTGATTACGTAGAAATGCAGCTATTGAAGTGTTAAGATTCAGGAAGATTTTATATTTTCATTTGTCATTAGTGTTATACTATACTGTGCTTTGACACTTTTAAAAGAAATGTGCAGCTTTGAATATGTCATTATTGTAACCGAAACAATGTTTTGTGGAATGGTAATATTTCTTAATTAAAGATTTGGTGAATTCAATTAATGAAAACAATGGCCATGATCAACCTAAAATAGAACTGATGTTTTCATGATTTTAAACTGTGATAAGATCAAAAAAAGTAAACAGAAAACATTTAACAAAAAAAATTTTTTTGAAACATAGAACTTTGTTTCTGATAAAGAACTTGTCACCAGACCAGTCTCAATATCAAAATTTAAAAAATGCAGACGTAGTTGACTATTTTTTTTTTAAATATTATAGTCTATATTCTTAAAATATCCAAATGGAAAATATAAAACTTAATGTATTAATTTAGCCCGCCCAGTAGAAATGAAAATCTGGTGCGCCCATCACATGACTTTCACTTACCTACCACTCTCTTCTTAGAAGAAATAAGTATTTTCAGATAAAAAGTGAAAATAGAAATTATTGACACTATATTTATTCGCAATTCATTGTGGGTATTTTAATTTGTTTAAATACCCTTATATATACAAATTTTAATTTTTAAATAGCTGTATTCTATACAATTAAATATTAAATAATACCAACGATGGCATTTATGAAAATTGCATATGTATATAAACATAATATTGTCGAAGTCCGCATTATATGAAACTCATGTTAAGTATGGAAGCCTGTTGTTATCTTTCGGGCGAGCTCAAATTCCTTTGATTCCTCTGTTACAACTATTATCCGTTACGATCTCTTATTTCTCTTTTAGTTGATAATCTAATTCCTTCATATTTTATATTTAACTATTTTTTATATCAAAGATCAATGTGAAATGGTTAATTATTTAAAATAATAAGAAATAAAAGGTACTTTAGAGGAAGCCAATATCAAAATTAGCCATTTACATCCTGATAGAGAACACCAATGAGAATAAAACTGTTTTAACATTATATTAAAAACTGCTTAATAATGCTACTCACATACTGAGTGTAATCAAAATCATTAGCCGTTTTTGAGAAAATCGTAAAAATGTGTTAATTCGATTATATAAAGTACCACTTTCGTTTTGCCGAAAATGTTGCTGTAACATCGAAAGCTTATAAAAACCTTAAATATGCAATTTCACTTTCATATGATTTTTCATTTTTGAGCTAGACTGATAACATAAATGTGTTATATACCTTGTCTTATATCTTAAATACATAGACACAGACCAATTTGCGGGACTTGGTTATTTGGATTCAGGAGACCTCAAAACATGTATTTCCGTTAAAAACTGACTCAAAAATTTTCATGATCGCAATACTTACCCTTACTATATATTGCATATATAGCTATAAATAAGTGAGAGTAAAAACAATTTAGAGAAAAAAATAAATAATGGAAAGATAGAAAGCGTGTAGTTAGCAGGGATATGTTTTGTATTATTTAGGATAATAAAACAAAACATTTCATTAAACAGGATTGTATCAGTAAATACATAAAGTAAGTTTTTACTAATAAATAATGAAAGTTGAAAGAAGTTAAAAACAAAATTTCATAGAACAATAAATATTATTACTTAAAATAGTGCATCTGATTATTAGATTAAGTAGTTCTTTAAAGTTTTATCTGATTCACCTTTGAGAATTTGGGCACTTAATAGGATGGGATATAATTTCAAAGTTTAAATATTTCAATACAATTTTAACACAATTGGTTCAATTTAATATAATCTTATATAAATGAGATGCTATTGTTGTAAATAATGTTTTTATTTTGTCTTTGCTAAATAAGTTAAAATATTAATCATCTTACAAGCGACTGGAAGATCATTAAATAATAATTTTATACATATGATAATACTCATTCAGTGGAAGAAAAAAAGAAAAGAAAACAATGCTTTGCCCTAACGGACAGGAAATTTTGGAAAATAACAATTACAATTTATGTTTACCCCAGTTTTACTTTATATATTTATACAATATTAGTTAACATGACTAAACAAATATAATAATATATGCCTTAAATTAAAAGCAAAACAGTATCTACAATATTAAAATACTTCTATAAACTGACCGGATATCAAGACAATAATGAGAATAATAATTAGGAATTAAAATAAAACAATAATTTTATTTTTAATAATGAAGACTATTAAGATGAAATGAAAATAACTAATAATCACAAATAAATTAAATATCTTAACAGGTGGTAAGATTTTTCTTCATTTTTTTTTTTACTTTCCTTTAATTTTGAAAACTATAATTCTTTGATGGGATTCCATTAAGGAACTAGAACCAATATTAAGTACAAACATTTTTTTTTGTTTTAATCCAAACCCTTTCTCATTTACATTTATTTATTAATTGAGCCACATTGCTTAAGTTTAACTTCCATTTAAGGCAGCAGTCTATACAAGAGACGATAAACGCATTAGAATTAATTCCTTATTAAAATAATTACTATGACAGTTAACTATACTAAGTTCAAAATACACCATTTTAAAATAATCAGGTAAGGCCACTTGGTTTCCATATGGATTTCAACTTTTTTTAATTTTAAATAAGAAAAGGAATGTATAACTATAAGCCCAGACAAATACTTTAAAATTGTAAAAAAATATTAAAATTTAAAGGGATCTTTTTCTGGGTATCCCATCATATATAATTTAAAATTTCTTTAATATTTTTTACATCTAGTGCAAATTATCCCCATGCTGATGTTGAATTAATATGATAACCTAAATCTCTCCTTATAACAAAGATATTTTAAAAACTTAAAAGAAGAAAATATACATTACAAATGCTATAAATGATAACAGCCTTACTACAATGTACATATACATTGAATGATTACATAATACATAGATAAGTAGTATCTTTAAATAATATATATAAATATATGTATATTTATATAAAATAATACATAAAATATATAAATAAAATATGCATAGTATCTTTATATAATAATTTATAGCAACAATTACAGTTATATTCATTGGATAAGTAGAAGATATAAATATGTTACTAAAGTAGTCTTAAAAATACAATCCATTAATAAGGAGATAAAATAACAAGAAGGGAATCTGTATGTCACATATCTACAAAATTCATTCCTTCTAATATAAACTAACAAATATTGGATGGGGATAAGTCACACACAGCTTTGGCAACAAAATAACTCTTTCAAATCGAATCGAAAATAATGGAATGGTAAGCGTAATTACCTCATACTTGATGTATGACACTTTCGAATGGATATTCTACAACTTTAAAAAATGCCATTAAATCGTGGCATCTATTTTATACAAGAATAAAATTTTATGGGAAAGCTCGAATTACCTATTATATCGCTTTCTCAGATATTTAGTCACATTTAAAGCCTAGTAACAGCAACAGAAGATGATGTTACAAGAGACTATTATGTTTTTTATCTGTTGGGAATAATGATTGATGGAGGAAAGAAATTACAGACCTGTAAACAATCCAGACGGGCATAAAATTAGAACTGTTACATGTTTTCAAACTGATCTACTCTACGTTTCGTATTTCCTTTACGAATCTCTCTAAGAGTTTTGTATTTATCACGACCTTGGCGAACGTTTTCTCGATGTATTTTATCCATTGCAGTTTCTTTTGTTTCATCTCTAGACTGGGCTAAATCTTGCTTCAACATCTATAATAAAAACAACGCAGAGAAAATTGATTAATTAATTAGAGAAAATTAACTTATATAAATATATATATTATTTTTAACTTCATAAAATATATATCTTAAACTTTTTGGTTAGGACTTCATTATTAATAATAATAAAAACTTTTTATTAGATCCCATTAGATTTATTTTATTTATTTATTTACATCAACATTTTAGCCCTTAGGCCATTTTGAAGGGAACAAATTTATTTTAAAATAAAATAAAGTTCTAAAAATTAACAAGCCTTGCTCTTATGACAACGAGCATATGAGTTTAATAAGAACTGAAATGTTGGTGTAAAGAAAAAAAAAAAAAGCAGGACTAATGGCATCTAATCTCTTTATTGTATATTTTATTATTTTTATTTATAGATCTATTATATTTATATATTTTATTATACATTATATTTTTGTCGTTTAATTAACTATATTTTTTATTATTTCCTTCATATTCTTACTAAATATCTTGCCATAAACCAAAGTTTAAGTTTTGATTTCATACTAACAGAAAAAAGTGTACTATTTTAAATTTTAGCTGCTATAATACTAAAATTTACCTTGAGTTGGTCATGTAGTCTTTCGTTTCGTTCAGCTAAAGTGCGACGTTCCTCAACGGGGTCAATTATATCATCATCAGTAGCTAAGTCACGAGAAACATCTCCATTTGGTAAATCATCATTTTCGTCTTGTTCATTTTCCATGACATGGTGATGCTGAGGTGTTGCTGCTGCGAGGAGAGCTGCCGCTGCCTCCTCTTGTTTCCTTCTAGCAGCTTCAACCTCTTCCTATAAATATGAGAATAATTAATGATGCAGATAAAAAATTCAATTTAAAACAAATAAAATTGTTCAAGCTGTTGAAGGCGGAAGGTGAAGTGCTTGGTTTAGAAGTCAATGAAAGCAAAACCAAGTACAAGTTTGTAAGTTCAGGCAGTGATTCAAGAGCTAGAGAAGATCTGTGCGTTAGAGGTTTTTCTTTTGAAAATGTTAAATCCTTCTCCTATCTTGGTGTAGAGCTTAATTGCACAAATAAAATATCAGCAGAAGTGACGGATTATGGCAGGTTACTGGGCTTATTAAGCAAATAAAAAACTCTTCCGCTCATTGCTGATGTCACGAACAACAAAAATAAGATTGTATAAAACATTAGTAAGACCAGTAGTGACATATTTTGCGGGAACTTGGACCCTTTGCACCCCCACAATAAATGCATTAGAGGTTTTCAGGAAGAAAATTCTCTGTAAAATTTATGGACCTGTATTGAAAGAGGGTGGGTGGAGAATCCGGAAGAACAGCAAACTAACTATATGAGCTATATGAATCTTGTGACAATGCCCACTTCATACGAGCAAGGCAAACTGAATGGTTGGGTCATGTAACACGGATGAATGAAGTGAGAATGCAGAAAAAGAATTCTGTTTGGAAAGATGTATGGCACCAGAAGGAGAAGAGACCTCGGAGACGTTGGGTTCAGGATGTGGAAAGGGACCTGGAAAATCTTGGTATAAGAAACTGGAGGAGGAGAGCGTTATGTAGAGAGGACTGGTGCAATGTTGTCAGGGAAGGCAAGGCACATCCTGTGCAGTAGAGCTACACAGTAAGTAAGTAAACAAATAAAATTTAAGGGACAAAACTAATAATTCAAACACAAACAGAAATAGACAACTAAATCTCATTATAAAGCTCTCGAGGGGCGAGAAAAAATGAACATTATAATTGGTAAATAAAAAATAAAAAAATACAAGAACGGAATTTTAATATTTTCTGATGAACAAATAAATAATGTAATTGAGACAAAAAGAGGAAGTTACATCAAGTCTACTTACAAAGAAGTCTCTCTCTCTCTTGCCACTTACTGGAATACCAGTGTCAAGAGCAGAAGAACCTATGTCCCCTGATGGTTTCGAGGCTCAGCAATTACCCACTGCCTCAAGTATGAGTAGAAGTAACTTTCTGTTACTTAAATGGTACGCAAGGATATAACACCAATATTTTTAGATGTGGCAAAAACTGTTTCATTAAATTGGATTCATAAAAATCCTAAATTAAATCAATTTTTTCATAACAGGAAAGCATATTCACTACATGGTTTCCTGAACATAAATACTGAACTGAGGGAAAATTTGGATCCTTATACAGCATAACTAAGTAAAACTAAGTCCTTTAACTCAAAGAAGTATCTTATCCTTCACACAACGAAACATTCTTAGGAATCAGATTGTTAAGTTCAATAAAGTTTCTTTAAAAAAATAACTAAATAGTCACATCTAAATTTGTTATCAATTAATTTAAAATTACTATAAAGATACTTAATGTACCATGCCTATTCATTTCACTATGATTTTGAGTGAACCATTTCAGACGAAAGACTAAACTAACTAGTTTAACAGGTGCAAAGTCTAGAGAGAACCTAAATGTAGAATTAAGCATACCATTAGGTAAACATGCTACAGTATTTTAAGTGGAAGTGTTGGCTATACTTTCTGCAGCTACCTGTCTAGAAGTTATTGATTTTGCAAGAGTGCTGGCATCACAATCTATTCGGATAGTCAGTCGGCACTACTAGCATTGGAGTTACCCCAAAAAGACCTCCATACTAGTAATACTAAACAGGCTTTGGAGACACTGGTCTACACTAACAGAGTGGAACTAATGTGTGTTCCTGGTCACAAGGGAATTTTAAAGACAATGAAAAAGCAGATGCCCTCGCAAAGAAAGGAGCAGAATTTCTTATGGTAGGTCCGGAACCTGCAATAGAAATATCCAAAAAACATCAGTGGAAAGAAGTACTTGATTGGATTTGGAAAAGAGCAGGTAAGGAATGGAAGGGATACACTGGGCTTAGACAAGCCAAATGTTTTATCAAAAGCCCCTCTCCTTCAAAAACTAAGTGGCTGCTCGGCCTAACTAAAAAAGAAATCAGACTCATCATCGAAGTACTAACAGGCCACTGCAGACTTAGACATTTAAATATCTATGGAATAGTGGATGATGAACTCTGCAATCTGCAGAAACGCATTAGAAACTGCCCTTCACTCCATTACAGAAAGCGACCGATTTGTGTCACTAAGATACAGACAGAATACAAGTACACGAAGTTATCTCCATAAAATGGTCCAACCTTTTGAATTTCATTAGAGGAACAAAAATGTTTGAGCCAGAGTTACAATAGATACAATAGACAACCATTAGTAGTATTGTCTTTGGGTTGGCAAAAAGGACCAATAGGCCAACTTGCTGGAATAAGTCCCCTCCCCCCCTCCCACCAGTACCAGTAACCACTTCAGACACTGAAGTTCAATAAAAAATAATAGGTTAGATAAGGGATAAACAAGTGATTAGAGATGGGCTTAGTTTAAATAAAAATTCATTTATTTGGAACCATCTGAACTTAAAAGAGGGAAAATAAAACATTTGGAAATAATTTTTGAACATCTCTATTTAAATAAATGAGGAAGCAAATAGATGCTTAGAAAAAGAAAATGATTTTGAAATATTATTGAGTTTAATTCTGATTGCGTACAATTTTTAATTCTTAACTAAAATATAAATACTCTATTCCATAAGTTAAATGTTACAATAGATATATTCAAGTTTCATGCAGTTTATCTATAGATTCCATTATCAGTGACAGGAAATATCAAATAAGGCATTAATCACAACACATGCTGCCATTCATTAAATGCTTTTGAAGTTTTATTTATATACAAAAAAAGAAAAAAAATCTGTATTCATTTAGCATGTACCAGGTAACAGATTAACAAATAAACTTGAGAAGAATTTAATCAAAAGTTAATATCTCCACTTTTGAAAGATTATCTATAAAAGAGTTCTTATGTTCCATTTTTTTATTGAATATATTGATTTGTAACAGCTATTTGACTAAGGGCAATAATAAACTGAATTATTTTTGGATGTAGGATTATAATTTGCCAAAATACATTTATAAGAATTGGACATATAAACTTTTGAAAGAATCCTCTTCAATCTTTATCTATTTACTACCAGAAATCTTTTAGGCAAAATCTATTAGAGAGAAGTATTATATTATGGATACTATGAGTTAAGGGCTAAAAAGCACAGGATCCTAATCACGAGAGAACTCAGACCTAAATCATTTAAATCAGAAAAAGTGTACAATATAAAAAACACTTTAGTAATCAACATTCCTTAAAAGAAAAGAGAATTTAAAAAATATATATTTTTCATCATAAATAAATGACTTAAACAGCGTTTGCTAGTCAATTTAAAACTAATTTTATACTTTTCACAATGAGCTCAATAACTACTTAAATGCTGATTGTTAAGTAATTTTTTTTTATAAAATTTATAATTATAAGGACCTGAAAATGGTTGGCTTTAGAAAACGAAAATACTCATGCAGCTAATGTGAATAATCTTGAAATATTATACAAGACAAACCAGCTATTTATGTATTGATACTATGAGTAACTAGAACAGTAAGTGGACCTTTTTGCTAACCCCTGACTGTAGGACCTAAACCCCAACATACCTTGGCCATTATGTCTTCAGATATCGATGCAACAAAAATTTCAATGATTAATTAAAACGAAAGCAAAGACTTCCTTATTCTCTTTTGAGTACAATATCATACTGTATTAACTAAAAACTATAAGTTTAATTAAACTACAATGCATTCATTCATCAGCAATCAAGCTCAACTGACTACAAAATTTAAAAAAAAAAAATGAAAGATTAAAAGAGTTAGTAATTGTTTTTTTTTTTTTTTTTACAGTTGTTAGTGCAAGCAAACAGCATTAGTGCAAACACATTCAGCAATTGTCTACATAAATCAACGCACCTCCTGTTTCCTCCGAACCTTCTCTACTTCATCCTATAACATTAATCAAATAAGCATAAACTATATTACTACTAGCTAAACTAAAATAAAAACTACAGCAAGCTTATGAACATTATAAATATAATTTAGCTGAGTGATAAAAATAATTACAAATGGTGCAATTAATACAATTATCAAGTGTGCCATATCAGGTAGATTGATAAAATATATATATTTTTTAAAAAGTTAATTCAGTGTGATCCATATTAAAACATATACAGCCAGTGTTCTGTAAAAAGAGTGAATCTAATATATCACTATTTTAAAAAGAACATATTTGATAAAAGACACTTTATAAAAAGTAATGTACTCATCATAGTTATATTGGAGAACCTACAAGGGATATTTACTAATGTACAAATAAGAAAATTATAGATCCACAATTTATTCATATTGGTAGCTATATAGCTATGTATCTAAAATAGCAACAATTCCTAAATACCTAATTTGATATTTGGTATTTTTACATAACACTGGCAACATACCAATATTAAACCTTTACTATCTAATTGGCACTCTTGAAAGATTAGTGAAGAATTAAGAGTGATTAACTATAAATAAAGAAGTGTGCAAAGGAAACAAAATAGCAAAATGCTGAAATGAAAAATTGTAAAATTTAATTATGTCAAAAGTCTCAATGCTAATACTAAAAAAAAAAAAAAACTAACAGTATGAACAAACCAATTCCTTAAAGTAAAATTGATAATGAGATACTTCAAATGTAGAACAGAAACAAGTTTATATGTATTTATACGCACCAAACTATTTTATAATAGCACTAAACAATTAATTCTCTATTAATATTATTTTATCAAAATATTTAAACAATTTATTAAAATAATGAAACTGATCAAAATTTTTAATTTAAATGTTTATAAAGTTATTTTGGAATGAAGACATTTTTCAAAATTATACAAATTTTAATTTTAGAGAAACTTTTATTACTTCGGAATATTTATTTACCAATAGCAGCCCATTAAAAAACAAATATTTTTTCAAGAAAATTTTAATTTGCAATAATTAATTTCTGAAGTTCAGAAATACTAAAAAATCAACTTCTGTTTTATTAGGTTTAACCTGACTGTGATTAAATGTACAGTATAGGAAAGTTATGATGATGCGATTTTATATACATCTTAAAGGTGTCAAATAAACAAACAGTTACTAAGGATCAGCTGTAGTTTGTGATTAAATGAATATACTACTTCATCAATTGAGTTTAGTCAGGTCAGTCCAGACAATAAAAGAAAACAAGTAGTATAAACAATTAAAAAAATAAATAAAACAGCCCAATAAATGTTTAAAATAAAATTGTTTAAAGTCAACCTAATTACTGGTACTAGCTCTAAAATAAATCGTTACCAGTGATGTGATTAAAAATAACTAATGTGTGGCTGGCATAAAATGAAATGATGTTAACGTGCACAAATAGACAATTAACAGATATCTTTTATTCTTACCTGCAACCTCCTGGTTTCTTCATCCTTGGCCTCGACGACTCCTTGAATCCTTGTGACCTCTTCTTGTTTGTTTTGGATCTCTTGTTCCAATTTCAATCTTTCTGCAGCCTCCATGTTCTTAGATTCCTCCAGACGTGTCATCATGGCTGTAAGCTCATTCTGCCGCGCTTCCAATTCGTCTTTAGCAGCCTGGAGTTGCCTCAATTGTTCTTCTAGCCTTCTTATCATTTCCTAAATAAATAATTAACAAAATATTATAAAAAAAACTAAAATGTTTATTAGTCAATACTGGTAGAATACAACTCATCATTATGGTTAAATAAACTGATCAAATTGAGAAATATCAAGAGAAAAAAAATATACAAGAGGAGAAATAAATTTATAATAGCATTAGTAGTTCGCATTAATCATATTAGAAAAGAACCACAACAACTTGTCTGTTAGTTAAAATAAATAAAACTGACATTACTAATACAATTAACAATATCAAAATGTAAATAATTAAAAATATAACATCAAGATAACTGAAGAAATGATTCAAATTATAATTGTGTAGTAAAAAATATTAATTAGACTTTAATATCTTAATAAGAAATATAAATTCATTACTTGAAACTTAACAGCTCACAAATACTGACAAAAGTTCCCTTAATCACATTAAAGTTGATTTAAGATAGTGATACGATAAACGAACATGAAACGAAAAGGTGAACCTTATGAAACATTTTGCAGATTTAAATCTAGATTTTTTAGACAAGATAATTACATTAGTTAGTTGAGGTATGCAACCAATTCTAAATGGATCAATAAGGCTAAATATTTTAACAAAAATATACTACGATAATCAACGATAATAAATTTAATACATAATAAACTAAGTAAAAACTAAAAATTGGTCTAATTGCTATTTATTTTATTTTTATATCCTCCTTCAAGTAGAAAACAAGCCAAGTTAATTTTGAATGATTATAACCTGAATAAATTTATAATTATGAAGGTCATTTAAATTAGTTTATTTAATAATGATAGTAATACAATTTTTATATTATGTTCTCATGTCAGTAATAAAATTGTAGTTGTGGTATTAATGCAACTAGTCCAAAGCAAAGTCACGTATCGAAGTCGAGAAACACACTTGTGTGCCTAAATATGATTGCTAGCACAATGGACGACCTCAATATAGACTGAGGTCAATATAAACTTATGATTTTGTAAAAGTGTAGAGAAAAATTTAAAAAAAACGAGGAGGGGTCTCCGTGTAGGTGTCTGTTGCCATGTGTTCTTCCATTTGGTGTGTTTGTTTGGGAGTTTTCTGTTTTGATAGGAGATGATATTGTTTTAGGTCTTTTGCATGGTTGTTGGGGGGGAGGTTTTTTTGGGTCTTTTATGTGGGTTATTATTTGGGTGGTAGGGGACGTCATTCATCGGTTGGTTTGGGGGTTTGCGAACTTGAGTGGTTGTGTGGTTAAATTGCTATTGTTGCATATTTGCGGGGGGTGTGTTTATGGGTTGTTTATGGTATTGTGAGTTTAGTTCGGGGAGATTTTTGGTGGGGATAATGGTGTTGGGTGTTTTTAGGTAGGGGGTGAGGTTTTTTTATTTTTCTTTGGGGGGGGGGGGGGGGTTAGGGTGGAGGTGGGATGCATTGTTTAGGAGTGGGGGAGTTGGTTTTTGGGGTGTGTTGATTGGGGGGTAGTAGTGGGATGGGGTTTTAATGGGATCGGGGGGGATGGGGTGGTTTGTGTGTTTGTGAAGTAATAGAAAAAATTTAGTTGCAGACCTGAGCTTCTTGTAGATCCTGCTGACGTTTCTCCATCTCATCTTGCATTGACTTAATTTTTTCTTCATATTCTTGTTGTTTCCTTTCAGCTTTTTCTCTGGCAGCAATTTCAAGTTGTAATTTCTCTCTAAAATAAAAAACAATAATTATGTAGTTTAACAGCTAATAATTAACTATCAGCGGTAACATTCAAATTCAATCATTCCATACCTTTGCTGCTGTTTGGCCAATTTCTCTTCCCTTGCCTGTGCCTTCATTTGCTGGACATCAATTGTATCAGGTTTACGTCTACGCATGTATAACTCATGATTTCCCATACATAACGCTAATATCCTTTTATTTATTCTAACCCTAGCAGCGAAAAACACAAAGTCTGGAGCTTTCTTATCGATTGGTTTAATAATGAACTTGCGATCATTAAATGAAATGTTCCTGATTTCTGACCATGGAAATCCAATTTTGGGCGTTAATCTAAAAACAGGCAATTTAATATTATAAATATATAGACAAAAAGAGAAAACCATAAAGGTCATTTATAACAGAATAACATTAAATAAAAATAATCATAATTACAAACTATTCAATAAATAAACTATGGAAACCTTTCAGGCCAGGGTGTAAGTATCAGGATTCGACAACAGAGCTAACAGATGAAACCTCATAAGGAGTCCTGATCATATTTCTGTGCACCAAGAGTTTTGTTTTTTACAGTGTTCAGTGTTTTACTGAGACCAACAAGATGCCGATTTTGAAGAAGAAAAAAAAGTGACATAGTGGGAATTTTAATAGGAAATGTGGCCCTTTATTAATAAAACATTTAACATTATTTATGAAATTATCAAAAAATTTTAAGTGTAAGCATAACAACTTAATACAAAAGTCATATAAAACAGTGATTTTTTTTTTTAACATAGTTAAGATACCGCATTATTTCATACTCAACTCTTGTATTCTATTGAACTACTTCATTACACATAAGACGTAGACGTTACACAAAAAGTAAAGAAGGGTTATCATTAAGCATATATAGGCTTTTTTTATCTCACATTATTACAAACGGCAAATTAATTATTATGAGTACTAAATTAAAAATATAAAATACTATTTAATACATTCAAAACATACAATGAATGAGATTAATCCATGAGCAAAATAAGAGAGGATCACTTAAAAATTTATATTGAATAAAATTTGAGATTTCTTACCAATACATTTGATTTAAATGTAGGTCATCGTTTAGGTTATGTTGAATATTAATATTGAATTTAGACTAAATGAATAAGCCTGACCGAATATACATATACCCACTAAGCAAGCAGAAATGAATGACAACTTACTTGTCATCTTTTTCGTAGATGTTCAATCCAAGAGCATCAACACCTAACCATAGTTCAGTTCCTTTTTTGTTTCTAATTTCAAAATAATTGACTCCGTACATTTCTAGATCTTGAGCTATTTTAAGATATTCCATCATTGCATCTTCTCTAAGCATGCCCCGATGCTCATTCCACCATGTCGTGATGCTTTGTTCCCACTCTTCTTTGGACATTTTATGCTGATCCATAACCCTAAAATAAAACAGAAAAGGATAGTCATATCAAGGAATTTTTTTTATCAATATCTGCTACTATGCAGCATATGCTGTAAACTACTTTCTAACCAATAAATATGTTCTATAATACATAAACTCATGATTTTTTTTTTTTTATGTTGACGTTGCTATTATATTACCATGCGTAACATTTCACGTTCTGAAAAAAATTGTATAAATAGGTTGAACTTTTATTTAAATTGAACCATGACTAATACAACTAAAAATAAATTTTCTGCCGAGTATAATTAAAACTCGTATCATGAATAAAAAGCTTTAAAACAAATCAATTTAAATAAAAGTTTAGAGATTTACAAAACCTTATAAGAACTATTCTACTTTAACACAAAAGTTTGTAAAAACATTTTTATTGGCAGATGTAGAATATCGTTTAAAAAAAAAAAAAAAAATTGACGATGCAAGTTTTTGTATGCTTTATTTTAATATTGAAACAAAATTCATAACTTAAAATATATTTTTAAATGAATTAACGTAATATATGATAATAAAGAATTTTAAACAAAATAAACCTCTTTTTCTAATAAACTAAAGTAATATTAAGTAAAAAAAAAATGTTTACCTCTGTGGTAAAAGTCGATCATTAGCAAGGAAACCAGCACTATGCAATAATTTATTAAAATCTCCATGCCTTGCTTGAACAGCATAAGATGCGAGTAGTACTGATGTTTCAGGAGGGCAGTATATTTCATCAGAAAGTATTGCATTTTTAACCTATCAATCAAATTATAAATAATTATTGAAAAATGATTTTTTTTTATGACATTAATAATATTGCTGTCATTTAAAAAAATGCTTGAATCAAAATAATTATTTTTCTACTTTTAAGTTCCTTTTTTACTAAAAAGTGTTACTCATTTCATGATTTTAGGAAGATCAAAATCATTTTCATTAAAAATGCAAGCTTAACAGCTTTGCATACAAGAGCTCTAAAATATCTAGAATAAATACAGAAGTTTTCTTTTTCTGAATTTTTATTTTGTTTTATTATTGAATGAAAATATTAAACACCCATATTTTATCAAGAACCATTACAGGAAACATCAGCGGACTCAATAGATCTGTAGAAAAACTTGTTTAATTTGAAATCTTATGTATTATGGGCAAAATCAGAATCAATTATTACAAGTGCAAATAAAACTTAATTTAAACTTGATTCAATAGCACTATAAACATAGCAAACATATGACACGACTACAATGGTATTCGGAAATCCGATTGTGATTGTAACTGTGTAATCACGTAAATGATGATTATGATTAGGTTCATGTATATAACATTCAATTTCGAATTAAACCAAGTTCCACTGTATTATAAAACGGACTTTACCTTGGTAAAAATAGAGTAACTAAGATATAATTTTTAATGGCATAATAATATAAACAAAATAATTTAATAAGATATTGGAAAAAAAAATTAAAATCATTTTTTGTATTAACCTGGAGATAAAACAGTCTTAGAGTAATATCTTGAATCAATTCATCAGCAACATCCTCAGGATAAAATTTAGCTCTGAACTTAAACTGAAGAGGATTTTCCTTTTTAACATCTTGGCTCATCACCTGGAAAAATACATTCAAGATTTACTCTCTAATTGATCATTCGAATGGTTTGAAAACATAAAAGCCTAGTCAACATGAACAGGGTTTAATTCAATAAAACACAAAATGCATGCAAAAAATTATATAATAAAACTTTGAAAACTGACTAGACCAGCCAGTTGTAGAAATCAGAAATAAATAAATAGTGAGCATTATTCCATGAAAATACGACTCACCCATGAGACAATATCTGGCTTCCATACAGCGTCCCAGCATGCAGCAATCAAAAATAAGCATGATATAATTATACACCCTGAACTAAATAAGTTTAACTTTTAATCAGAAAAGGTGAATGCAACTTTAAATATCAATAAAGCAGTTCAGACTGTGAGAAAAAAAATATTGATTTCTTACACGGACATGACAAAACTCAAAAAAAGCAAAATGTAATTAAAAAAGGATGCAATGATTTTTGTCCAAAAGATAATCATTTTACACTATGATATCTCCTATCATTTTCATGTCACTCATATTAACATCTTTGAACAAAAAAAGTTATAAGTTCAAAATAGTAGTAGTTTTTAATGCACAAATAACTATGTGAAACAATGATTTAAAAACAACTATATTCAAAAAAAGTTAAGTCTATAGAAATCTAATATAACAACATAAATGGATTAATTAATAATTAGAGAAATAAAACACAATACTTAAAGACAACAATGCATTTAAGGAGAAAGTGATTAACTTATTTGATAGTTTCACAGGATATTATTACCAAAAGTTAATGGTTTTACAAATTACTATTTAAGGTTAAGTTAAAAGCAAATGCAAAAACATGCAAAAGATTCAAGGAAACAACTTACATAATATACATCTACTAGAATAATAGTCATTATAAATAACAGTTTGAAAAAAATCCCTCAGAAAAAATAATAAGATGACTGGCAGATAAAACCAATAATATTATTTTTAGATTAAATTCAAGTTTTTAAAATATAATTGATTTAATTTAACATTATTTTGAATATATAATACTACTATTTCTTACTCATTATCCGGAACAAGAAATTGACCTAATATCTTTTCTCCTAAAAATGAATATTTCAAGCAAATGACCTGCCGAGTCCAAGATTCTTAGGAGCAATCATTATTGGCTTTTATCAGAGATTATTTTGGCCTCATTTCAAATAATGAACTCAATTTTAAGACGGAGAAAAGTATGCTCTATTAGCATCTCAACTGATTCTCTTCTATCTTTTCTGTAATTCCTGATTGTAGGTATACTCCTCAGGGGAAAGAACATTGAAACAGGTATAGTTCATCAATAATAAATTGATGTTTTGAGTTTGTGATTTTTAATTCATCTTGTTTTTAAGATAAAGAACAGATATTTTAAAGAAACCAACAAAGTTTTAAAATACGGAATAAAAAAATAAAATAAAAACAAGTTACTTGTCAGAGATACACATGCATGACAACTGCCATAGACTGCTAATGGAAGAAAAAAAATCATTTAATCATTACTATTGGTATATTAGATGAAATGGCTAGTAAAAACTATAGCCGTAAAAAAGTAAAAAAAGTGACTATTTTGGTGCCTTCGTGTTTTCATGCAAGCTAAGAAACAGCTTCGAATTCCTACCACCAATAAAATCAACACCATTATTGATTTTGATTTATCTTAATATTGGCACATAATGTTTTTTTAATTAAATTATTAATTTATTGTATTCAAATTGTAAATTACGATTACTAATGTGGTTCTTGTACCTAGTTTTTCTTTATGATTTATAACTTTTTATCTAACTTAGTAAAACAGAAAAAAGAACTGATAATGATTATCGGATTACCTTACATATAATTTTCTTCTAGACAAATTAAGATAAAATAAAATATTATCTGTAGCGCTATGTTCTACATGTTGTTTTGAATATTATATTTAATGTTATTTTAAGAACAACTAAAGGCAGGTAAAATTACATTGTACATAATAACCAGGTAATTAATTATATAGTAAAATAACTACTAGTGAAAAAACTAGCCATTTTATTGTATAAGTACTGTTTTATAAAATTAAGTCGTTACTTTAAAAGCATTAAATGGCATTACAGGTTATAAATATGAAATTAAAAAAACGTAGGGGTGATATAATAAAAGAAAGGAAGACCGATACAATAACGGCAAAGAAACATGATTTAAGATTCTACTTCCCCTTACCAAGTCTACAGAGTCAGAATTGTTAGGCAGTTGTTTTCTACAAGTTTTGAAAATCCTCATCAAGATATTTTCCGGCTAGCATGCAATTATAAAAGCAATTTTCACTTATATAAATAAAATAGGTAAAATAATTTGAAACATCTAACATTTTTCTTTTTTTTTTATTGAATAAAAATAAAATTTTCAGATAATGAATCATACATAGATAATTTTTATTTATAATAAGACAGGTAACAGGTGTTGCAGCACAAATCTAATGAATTATGAAGGCTGAGAGAGGATTTCCTTGACATGCAGACACTTCTGACCTAGGTCCCAACATCACCAAGGTCAAAAGATAGTCATGTAATATTCATTACTATGTCAATTTATAACATTAATGATAATGTGAAAACTGAGGTACATTAGCATCAAAAATATTACTTCCAGTTATCCCAAAGAAGCTCCTACACATTAAAATATAAAATATTTTAATGGGCTTCTAAATTCAATATATGATTCAAAATTACAGAATCCATTAAATAGACCAGAATATTTCTATGGTAAATCCAAGGTAGAAGGTATTTAAAAGGTTATTAAAGGTATTTACATAAAATCCGAAGTGTGATATAATTACCTTGAATAAAACAAAGCGAATAATTAGAAAATTTCTTTTATATATAATATATAAGCTTTTAGAATAGAATTCTAAAACACAAAGCTAGACAGCATATTAATAAACTAACTTTCCTGTATAAAATCATATTAATTTTAGAAAATTAACTGTCAAACATCACGAAAAGACATGCAAGCTATAATTGGCACTGTTATAAATGCATATTACTCGTGGAATACAGTTTTTTTCACTTCCCCTGGGAATAGAAAAAACAATGTTGTGTACTGACCTTTTTGTACAGTTTAATCCATGTAAGATCTCCTTTGCTATCGGTGTATTGAAGACCAAAAAACCATACTTCACGCAATCCAATTGTTTTGACAACCTGGTCGAAAAGTTGTTTGCCAGTTGTCGTTTGCTGAATAGCAAACTCCAACTCGGCATCCATCGTGGTAACACGGACATTCATCTAAAATCAGATTCATTATTTTAGAAACACTGAGGAAAATAAATTACCAAAAATAATAAAAACTACAGTACTAATTATATTCCACAATGATAATAAATAATAAAATTAAGTCTAGCACTAAGATATTTTTTTTTAAGTTTAAGTTGCTAATATCATCTAATAATTAGCATGAAATATAACAAAACCATTCTGAAACAAAACATTACACTATGATTTATCATGAATATGAGCACAAAGCACATACATTTTTAAAAATTTTCAATAAATGGTTAAAAAGGAAAGAAAAAAGTTTTATTAATAGTTATAAAAATCATATTCGAGCTGTGATAAGAATAGTTTGTATAGATAAGGGAATAAATAGGGATTAACTGTGACAGATACAATTAAATTTTAAAGAATACATATTAATTGTTAAATAATATTGATGGGAGCAGTGGAGATTCAACAGGTAGAAGACGGGTGGGTTGAAGCAACGCCTTTCGTTGAGGTTTCTTAACAACGGTTTTTAGCTCATTAGATTTAACATAATACTAGCGGTAGATGGAAACGTATAGCTTAGAGTACTTACAGATTTGCCCAAAACCATCTTGCTGGTCAATGAGGAGGTCACTAAGAGAAGAGGACACACAATTCAGTTAGAGCCTAGAATGGGACGACCGAGACGCTTAGCCTATGACCCTGCCCTAAGCAACTCATCGTAATTCCCGGGAGCGGGGTTTAGTTCCAACTCATGGGAGGTGGCTTCTAGCGCTAGTGTCGCCGAAGGTCTCCGCTAGCCGTCTATTTTTAAATTACGGTTATTTTATTACTCTTTTAACCGATAATAATATGTTTTAATGTATTAAAAGGGCTTTACTAAAAAAAAATTTAGTGCTTGCTACCATTTACAGTAATAGGGTACACGCAAACATGGCTGCCTAAATCAACGATTTTAAGTTTGGTTCAACATATCAACCTACTCTTCAAATATATATTTAAATCATTATAAATGATAACTACCTATAATATATAATACTTAGCACCAAACAGAGGCCTCAATAAATGAGATGACTCATCAATAGTTTAAATATTTTTCATAAAAACTCTTATTTATTCACTTGAAGGAAGTTTATATAAAATGTCTTACAAGGACTTAGAAAATTAAATCCTCAATCATATCCTATGTATATAAATTAATGAATTTCTCCCTTTGACTTTCTGTGGTGAGTTAGATCGGTGGTTAGGATGACATACTATCAGAACGTCCTTGAAAAAGTACAGGTTTCGCCAGAGCACTATTTGGTTGAAATTGTACACATAATTATCTTTTAAAATTACTTCATCCATCTTACTATAAATCAAAATGTTTATTTTCAAGGATAACGATACGTAAGTAGGTGTTCAGGACAAATGTTCCGCCGCCAAGAATTTCCTGATTTCTCTTTTATTCCAAATACTAGTTTAAGCACAATTTTCTATTTCATACATTATGCACGTCACATTTACAAATCGACAGTAGGATAAATATTCAGCGAATAATTGCTTTAAAATGGATAAAAACCGTAACAATAAAATTTAAGTTAGTTATTTTATGAGTAATGTACATTTCATTTGTTCAAAAGAATTACGCGGAATAGTCAGAAATAACCGTGTGCCTGGATTAAACATTTCAACAGACTTATTTTTAACACAGCAAAGTCAGACTACAAATTTTAAAAACATTTCAGCAGCCAAAAGGAATTGATTGATATGTTTGCCGGTACCCAACCAATTGAACTGGACTCGGGTGGAGTGAAATTTCGTAAATTTCGGGTTTAAGTTTCTTTTTTGACTAAAAGAATTAGAAATATCAATTCATTATGCTGACCAATTTAGTTAGAATTAAAAAAAAAAAATGGGGACGACGAATAAAAACTAATCCAAATCACATGGTCGTTTTTTTTAACCAATTAAAATATTCTTTAAGTTAGACAGAGACATTACAATAGTTTTGTCATGATATTAGTCTAGGAGTTAGCTGTTTTCTAAATTCCTTATCAACTAAAATTACTGATAACACCAGCTAGGTAAAACTATCAGTTACAGATGGAGATAAAAACTGATAGAAAATACAGGATCTTTTCTTCAACTCAAAGACGAGAAGAAAGAGTTTAGCTGAAGGCAGGTGTGGAATTCCGTGTACCTATCACTTCCTCTCACTAAAATGGAATACTTTCTCTGATAAACGGTCAGTGCTGGCTATTAATAGAAGCACAGAATGCACTTTTTCCCTCGGCGATGTGCTACAACAACATACGTAACAATACAGAATGTTAGCTCAAGAATTACTTTTCTCCGTCAGCGAAATACTCTTCATAACATATATTAATTATATAGTTTTGTTTTAAATTTTAATCCGATTACAAATTAACACTAGTAATAAGGTCATTGGATAGGCACAAAACTAAAGCCGAAATATTAGGTTAAACAAGATGAATTCACTAATATAACCAACCAATTATGATAACTTGCCTCGATGGGTATGATTTAAAAAAATATACACTCGTCAAGGGAAAATTATTTTTCAGTGCTACCAGTTAATTTTTCCTCCATGATTTTTTCTAATAGCAAGTTTCACACGACCCAACCCAACCTACTAGTTAACGGTTAGCGTGAGCTTTAGTAGCGCATTGTGATGTCACTATTTCTCATCCATTTAAATGTGTAGAAAAATCACTGTCTTTTAAATAATTTTACCTGCAGGTTACAAAATAATTAAATTAAAAGTAATACAAATATAACAAAAACATCGTGCAAATCGAAATATATTCCAAACACAGTATTCAAAACATGTAATAATCAGTAATTAGCCATAATTTAAAGATAACCCTCAACTAATAGAAGACATTTCCAATTTTAAATTACACCTGATGTTAATGAATTGCTGAAAAAATCTTATCAACAAGAACCGTATTAAAAAATCCTAAATCAAGAATACATTTCCATGAAAGGCCCTTACAGTATTGGTGGAATTCTATTCTTCACAAGAACAGATAAAAATGAAGATATGTAGACAAACTTGTGATAGTGAGACTACATTAGAATAAAACTGATTCACCCAGCACAATTTACTTTTTTTCACGTTCAAAATTCCTTAATTCCTTCACTCAAACCACATTTCTGTCATGAATGTAAGGATATAACGTCTTTTGTTTATTGTAAAATGGTTTAACGCCGTTAATAAGTAGTTAGTTCAAACAGATCAGATATACAAATAGCTGAGAGCTAACTATTTTTTTTTTTCTTAAGTTGAACGATGAATCGATCTATGTGGTTTACAAATATCAAAATTATAGATTTACAAGGTCTTGTTAGAATTTTCAGACCAAAATGAGAGATAAAGATAAAATGGCTGAGCCTCTCTTGAAGGAATTTCGCTATATAATAGCGATGGCTGTCCCAATAAACCTAAGAGGAATGTGCCATAAAGTACTTTGTAAAGAGCCATAAATGCCATTATGGCACTTAGGGGATTTGACCCCTTTTAAAGCGCCATCGTTATTACTAACTACTGATGGTAAAGAAAAACTTTAATGACATCAAATGAAGACAATTTTGTTTATTTTAATTTCTTATAAAGTAGTCTTATAAAAAAAAAAAAAAAAAAAGTATCAAAATATATCTACCACGAAAAAATTCTTTACTTTTTCTATACGCTCAGATTCTGATATGTGGTAATTAGAAACTACTAATGAAAAAGTTCTGTGGTATTTCACTGGCTAAACTTCTCGTTGGGGCGGTAATAATTAAACTTTCATTTTATAATAGATGCATTTGTAAGAAGAAAACGTAAAGATAATTGTCTTGGAAAAAAAGTTTTAGATTTTTAAAAAAATTAATCTGTTAAAATGAAATGTTCAATGCAGTACCATTCCAATTTTTTTATTTAAAAAAAATTCAATTTCAATTATTTTTATCACGAATTCTTTTATCTGCTCATGGCATCATCGCCACTTAATCTATTCTCCTACCTCACCCCCCAGCGATAGAGGTGGGAAGATAATAAACAATAAATATTTTATCTGAAAACTCTTAGTGATTTAGATATTCTTTTATTATCATACACCTCATGATCTTCCATCGAATTCTTTTTAATATTGAAAATAAATACATAATATTTTGTAAAATAGCCTTGCATATTATTAAAACATATAAAATTTAATCTCTAATTTATAATTAGTCTATATAATCTATTAATATATATATATATATATATATATATATATATATTAATAGATTATATAGACTAATTATAAATTAAAGATTAAATTTTATATGTTATATATATATATATATATATATATATATACTAAAGAGAATCAGGCTTTGTAAAAATTTAATTTTTTTTTCTAAAAAAAAATAAGCACTATTAGAAATAATAACCGGGCAACAACAAAAAAGTACACAATGAAAAGTTGAGATTTTTATTTTCAACATTTCAAATAAAACTATACCAAAAACAAACAAAAATTACAAATTTCATATCCAAATCAGGAAACACATTTGAGTTGTTTCCTTAGGTTCGATTTTTTAGAGTTATCGGAACGAACTTAGCCTCCCAACTACCCTAAAACATACATAAAGATTAAACTAAATTCTTTGAGTTCTTCAGAATTCAGCGCCAACACTAACACATATACGTGGAAGCAGTAATGGCGACAACAAATTGATATATTAAAAACAAACTCTTGGATTCAGTTGACCTAAAACTAGTAAATAACAAGAAATTAAAAAATCGGTAATTAAAAATAGGTTTTAAATTTAACCAGCACTGCAATAATGATCATAAATCAACACTTAACGACTTTCATCGACCTTATCGTAAAATCTTGCGATACTCAACAAAAAAACATCATTAATGTTCAGTACTTAATTAGACCTGAATCAAAACACTATACAGAACAGTAGCTAGAATATTGACAAAAGGATGTCTTTGTGCCGTTTCGGTCTGTTTATTGAGAATATTACCAATTAAAAAATATTACAAGCTATTGTTCATAAGAATACTTTGTAATGAGACTATCAATTTGAAGGTAAAATACTAATTCTGCAAATTATAACAGGTTCATTATTTCCGAATAGTTAAAAAAATATATATAAAGAACTATTTGTAGTAGTTTAGTGATGGTTGGTTAACTGTAGTGAAAAATTGAAGAAAAGTAAAAAATAAATAAATGATATCTAGTTAGAGGACAAGATAACAATAGGTATGAGAAACTATTAACAGTAAAAAAAATAACATGACGGTAGAATATATTTAACATTAATAAATAACTGTAGAGGCAGAAATATGAAATATAAAATAACGACCACAACGTTGGGAATAGAAAGTAGCGGAAGAAAAGTTGAGATATCCAACAACAATATATAAAAACTATTTGTCTAACTAGAAGCTTTGGTTTATTGATTTCAAACCACTTAATATTTGCTCACTTTGAATCTTCTGAATGGCCAACATTTTGTATGATATATGACAAATGGTAATGTCGAAATATGAGGAAAATATAGCAATGATCTGTGGCTCGGGTGACTGACAAAAAAAAATAAAATAAAAAAGGACCTTTAGTCTCAGAAAAAAGTCAATGAGGCAATGAGGACAGATGGACGAACTTTTTACATTCAGTTTTTGGATTCTACGTATACTGCCTGAAGTGAACTTCGAATTTCGATTTTTTTTTAAAGTCATCCCTTAATACTTATTTCAAGATTCAATACTGAAATTCTGGTTAGTTGGGGTTGAAGAATTTAAACATCATTATTCCATAGAGGGAGAAACCCAACCCGGAATAGCATTATTTCCTCACCTTTTCAATATTTTTTTCCGATTTGATCAAATTTTCTTTTAAAATTAAAAGTATTCAGTCGATATAAAAAAAAACATTATAATACAAGGATTGGATGATTCTCAGGGAAGCATTGGATGATGAAGCATACCAAACTTGGATAGCATTACTCCATCGCCTCATGAATATGTATAATAGCATCTCAACAATACTCATATAGTTCCAGGATTTATTTTCAACTCGAAGTATTTAAAATAAATATTTCTCAAAAATATTAAAAGTGGGATATCACGTCCTTAACTACTTAAAGCAATACAGGTATAATAAAGATAGAGGACGTGACGGCCGAGCACGTAGGGCGTGCCTCTCTGAGTGCCCGGTTCTGAACGTTGTGGGTTCGATTCCCACATGGGTCGTTTAAAATTTATTTCACGGCGGCTTCCGGCAATGAGTCTTGATTGGTGAAATCTGCTAAGTACGCGGCGGCCGAATCAAGGTAGCCGAAAAGACCAGAAAACCGGCTTGCCCGACTAATTCCTCTTACTAGTACCAGAATCGCAAAGACATAACAACTGTTTTTTGTTAGTACATAACAACTTTTGTTCAAGACTTAAGCAAGGTCATCTAACCAAAATCACGCCTACCTTCTCCACTATGAAGGAAATCATTTTATTGAGGTTGGGTATGCCCTAGAAGG